AGTAATTGGCAAGATTGGTGGTAGCAGGGAGATCATTTTTTGGGCAGACAATTGTTCTGCTCAAAACAAGTGTTGGACTTTATTTACTGCCCTATGTTCAATTATCAACAGCCCAGATGTTGACCTGGACAAGATAACGGTCAAGTATCTAGAGCCAGTGCACACCTTTATGAGTGCAGACTCATTCCACCATAAAGCGGAGTTGTCCATCAAACAATCAGGTCAACTTCATGATTATAAGGACTTTGTTCAGGCAGTTGAACAGGTGGGTACTGCGATAAGCATGATCTGCACAGACTTTGAATCGTGGCTAAGGTCCTACGGAAAAAGCAACTAAAAAACTAAAGATGTTAAAGTTGTAAGTTTCCAGCGTGGGTCTGTAGAAATGGAATGGAAAACAAATCATGACGAGGTTTCCTTTCATTTCACTCCATTTCTCAGACAAAAAGAATGCTGGTAGAATTCCGACTATTTTTTAATCCGCTGGGGAGAAGGGAGTGTTTTCGTGTTTTTAAACCACTAAGTGTTCTCAGCAATCGGAGAGAAACCTAGAATCGAAGCTAGTAGAGTCGGAATGCTCAAACCTGGCAAGGCTGTGAGACCAGTTAAAGTGACTGCGGCAAGTGCAACAATTGTTAATCAGATTCTCGCTAAATCGAGAAACCTGCGAGCAATTGCTGGGTTTCAAGTAAGAGCTTTTTGATACGGCTCTTGATAATTGAGATGGGGGAGGAAAGGTCGGAAAATTTAATAGAGCCAGGGACCATGACATTGTTTTCATTAGGAGTGCATTTGTCGAATATTTTATCAACCAAACTGTTCCATATAGTCGTACCTTTGAAGACAAAATTGTGTTTAGAAATTTCAAGTTTGTGTCGGGGGACCCGCATAGTTTGGCTACATGCTCTGGAACTTGTTTGGAATAAACTTGTCAGAGAGATAGGTTGATGCAGTTTCAAGATTTTAAACAGTTCAGTGGATATATGTTGGGTGTACAGGTTGTGGATTGACATGATTTTCTCGGTATTGAATATTGGCTTAGTGTTTTCCAAAGCAAAGCTCCTTTTTGCGATGTGTTCACTGTATGGTCTTGCACGTGCACATGTTTCATAATACTCTGCCCGGTCAAAGCTTGGTTTGCTTCCAAATAGAAGGCGTACACATCTTTTTTGGATGGAGAACAGTTTAGATAGTCTATAAGGTGTGACACCACCCCAGCTACTGATACAGTAGCTCATATGAGACTTGAATAAGGAGTCATACAGCTTATGGTACTCTGTTTCTGGAATAAACTTCATAATACGTTTAATTATAGCTATACTTGTAGTTCTGGTTTACTTTTTATGTTATCTAGTTGGGGTTCCCAGGATAGTTCAACAGTAGTCTACTTCAACAGTAGTCTACTTCAGCTCACATTAAAGGGAGTTTTCGTCGTGCGTGTAGCGCCCTTCAAGTTTAACTTGGACGGATAGGATTTATAAAACTTCTGATTATAATATTTATACTATATTGTATTTTGTATTTATGTATTTTAGTAAATGGTCATTAGAACCACCGGCACCGTCCGGACCCAAACAAACAAACCAATCAATTTGTCGTAAAATTTTAGGTCAGAATGATCGCAGATAAAGTTCCCACTAATGTGGCTGTACTTAAGCACTTTTATCAGAAAACGAAATTTTCAAATTTTCTATTTCAGCGTGTCCCCTATTTACAACCAATGTTTCATCACAGCAGTTTTAGGCTAATTTTTCGTTTTACTTTCGATGAGTAATGGTTTGAACGGGTCATTTTCATCAGAACATGGAGCTTTTGCTGATGTGGCTGTACTTAAGCACTTTTCTCAGAAAACGAAATTTTCAAATTTTCTATTTCAGCGTGTCCCCTATTTACAACCAATGTTTCATCACAGCAGTTTTAGGCTAATTTTTCGTTTTACTTTCGATGACCAATGGTTTGAACGGGTCATTTTCATCAGAACATGTAGTATTTGCCGATGTGACTGTACTTAAGCACTTTTCTAAGAAATTCAAACTATAATTTGTGATTTTGAGGCACTTTCCGAGAAGTTAGGATGATGAAACCTTGTCAGAAGTCTCAAAAGTCGACAAAGTACCTTAGAAACATAGTGGGTGCAGTTTAAATTGGACAGTAGCTAGCCCAGAGCAATTACAGAATTGAAATCTTTAAAGTCAATTTGCACAAAATGAACCTTGTATTATTGTGTTACTTAAGCACTTTTGTCAGAAAACGGCAGAGAAGTAGAGGGGACAACCACTGCCAGTACGTCTCAGTTGGTCAACGCAATGGTCCAAAATTTCAAAAGACAAGTGATATCAGGCATGCATAAAATTTCATGCCACCAGCGAGTAATTTTTGTATCACGTTGCGACCCCCACGGTCGTTTCACTATCATCCTGACGATACAGGGGGAGCCGCGCACTTCGTGCGCGGCGGGTCATACAACGTATGACAAAGTAATTTATAGTCGACTGGAATGATCTCTTGGCTTGGCCTTGGCCCAACCTAATATAAAGCCAAAGGTCGGGAAAATGACAATGGTACCCTGACCCATTCACACTTTACAATTTTCTGGGAGGTTCCGATTAATATCATGAATATAAAATATTACTATTAGTGATAATGTATTTGTGATTAATTCTCAATCTCACGATTCAGTGAAAGCAGGATTAATGAACGATTAGTGTGACATTGAGTTCTCAACCATGGAAATTTAGAAGTCCCTACATGCTGTTCTTTCTGGCTCCATGTGCTATTTAGGGGTCTGGGGTATCCGAAAAATCATGTTTTGAGTACCCAAAGTGTTCTGGGTGCCAGGAATGAGGTTATTAAATCGGCGAAAATGACCGATTTTGGACTATTTATGAGCTTTTTTGCCCATTTTCATGAGATAAAGAATCAGGAAAGCTGCTCTAGATGATTGAAATGGTTGATACCAATGAGGATACACCCAACACACATAAATATTCGTGATATATGTGATTTTAATGAGAAAAATATGATCTCAGGGCCCATTTTGCATTTTATAACAAAATTTGCCAAAACCACTCGCACTTGTCAAAGCTTCCTTATTTTAGACACATTTAATGATTATTATGGTATCTAACTTATAGCGGATCTGATAGGAGTATGTCTTAGCTTCATTTTAAGCCATCAATAAGCATGCTGGTGTGTATGAAAGTACTTTTATCCTCCTGTGGCCGTCCATTGATATAGTCTGGGCCATGCGCGCGCGCGCGCTTTTACAAACATGAATTTTCTCCCTCAGTATCTATCTAAAGCTTTTAAAGACATGATTTGAATGCTATCCTACTCAGCACATGAGTGCTACAGGATGGTGAAAGAATTTCTATAAAAAATCATTAAATGTGGAAGATATGAGGTGTGTGTGCGCGCGCGCGCGCTTTTACAAACTTGATATCCTCAGTCCTTTCACATACACTGAGATTTTGTTTCAAACTTAATTACTGGGCCGCGCTCAGCCTGTCCCCTGCAGTTTCTTTTCGTTTAAATCGTAAATTCGCGCGCAAAAATTTCACCGGCGCGCCTTCCATTAATGATGCATTAGACGCATACATTATAAGCATCGAGTGTGTTTAACGGACGGTCACTTGCGCCGCGCGAAATATGAATAGCATAGCGATCAATTATGTGTCAACACTGAACACTTAAAATTTAATATTATATTGTGTTGTAAGATTTTTTTGTATAATGAGCCAATTTATGTTTTAAATTGATGAATAATAATAGTTTTTGTTATTTGTTATTGACAAATACGCGTTCAATTCAATGTTGTGTGTTGATAAATATGGTAGTAATATGGTTTTAAATATATGACACAAGTATCATTCTTACATTATACATTAGAATTATATAAATATATAATTCTGGTTTTGCATCAAAAAGGAAGTAACAAATGTTTTTTCTGCAATCATATTTAGGTTACAAATCACTAAACTGTAAACTGAAAACACAAAGCCACGCGCCGATTTGTACGGCATTTTGTCATTATAACAACCTTTTAAATACCATAAATTATACCCAATTCATTTTTTTAATAATTAGTATTGAATAATATATAACTTTTGTGAAATAATGATTCGATATTATATTAACTGCAAGTATCATTCGTTAAATTTTAGTCGAAGATTGGTTTTTTATTTTAAGATGTGCGCGTGTTTTGCTTGATTTTACAATCTGCAATCTTGGAATATCCTCCGCATAACTTCGGCTTGGAATTTACAAAAGTGTGCTGCCTGCTGTATAGTAGCAACGAATTTAAAACCTGTTTTGTCAAACAAAAATTTGATTAAATTCATTTTAACTGCGTTTGTTGTTTTTCAATAATTATTTCTATTGACTTGACAAGTCAAAACGTTAGTTTAATATCGGTTTTATGAAAATTTTCAAGTATTGCTACAGGGCCTTTGGAATGACTTTAGATGGTGCAAATTTAAACTATTGCCAGGAACTTCATGTGTTTGGTCAGTTTGGAATGTCAAATTTAAAGTCTTTGCAGCTTTCCTATTTTGATCGTTTTTGCTCATTAATGTTCAATGACTAAAATCCAGATAAAACGGATTTTAATTTATATTTCATTTGTAAAACAGAGTAATAGTCTGTCGAAAGACTGTTACTCATTGCAATAAAGTTGTAATTCTACTAACGTGTACAAATGGCTCTGTTCTGTAATTTTATTATCTTCAGACCTTGTATGTGTGCAGCTGGTTATGAAAAGTTGAGAACCGTTTGGTTTTGATTTAATTTACAGGATCAACTCTATTTTAGGATTCAAATTCATTCATGCCCTTGTTAACTACATTTAATAAAGATCAATGTGGCAAGAAAACTTAAGTGCTTTTAATTTACTGTAAAACCAATAAATCTTCAATTAGAATGAACACCAGACCGGCACTTCACACGGTGAAAGACAACCTTGGCATTCATCAGCAGATAACATGCATCAGCAGATAACCTTTACTCTTCAGATTATTTGATAATCATGAGGTATTTACTAATCACTTATAACTTATAATTATAATTCGTAAGTTCGTTTATACTTCGATCTATGAAAAGCTCTGTTACTACTTTCATAAAAATTTGCTTTTAAACCTTACTTAAAGTTGGCACATGATATCATAAATATTGGTTAATTTGTAATTTAACATAAACATAATCTATAGCTATCTGTAATTCTGTATTTAATCCAATATAGTCTTTACAAACTTAAATTCTTGGAAAATGTTGGCATCAGGGAAATGTCAATAAATTAAACTTTTAAGAACAGAGCGCTTTAACAGAGTCAATGAGAACTTATGATAGCTTCATTGATCCAGCTGATCTGCAATACTAATGGACATTTTTTCAGAATGAATACCGACAGGTTTTGCCTTGGAACACTCCTTCATGTGACTTACCTGTTGTTGTAGGTTAGTACTTAGTAATTTTTTGAAATTGCAACTATACAGTTCATTAGCAGTGTATGTTATGTCGAAAGTTAGTTATTTTTGGTAACTGGAAACAACACAGCAATAGCAGCAAATCCGGGGAAACTTAGTGGACATTGGCTAACTTGTCCAGACTTGCCTTAAATTTTGACAGTGAACCTTGTGATCTCTGTCAGTGGTTAATCTTTAGTGGTAATGCCATGAATTTTACAATATATGCAGATAAATGGTTTATTTTTGGTGGTTAACAATTGGTTAAGATAACACTAATGTGCTAAAAACAGCTGTTAATGTGCGAAAACGTGTATTAAACACATATGGAATCATATTTTACCATTTGAAATAGCCTATTATACCCCATCATACTTAAGCTTGCACCTGCACAGTGGGCACAAGCCCCAAATAACATAGCTTTAGCCGATAAATTGGTAAAAAATCTGCAATTAAAAAAAAATGCCCAAGATGATTTTTTTGTATATTGTAGGGAATACTCTAGGCTTTTAGATGGAGTTATGGAATAGGGCGGCAAATGCCGGCAACACAACTATATTTGGGCTGGAAGGCCAAAAATTTGCCTAAAAATGGGGCAAAAACTCAGGTTCATGTCAAAAATCAGCTAAATTATAGATAGCCTATTAAGGTTTTTTCAAATAAATTAAGATTTGAGAGTTGTTTGGAGATATGAAAGGAGTCAACTTATTATATTATCTCATTTGTGTAACAGACATAGAGTAAGAGCTATTTTTCGCTGCCAAAAAGCCAAAAAATTGGTTTGCGAAAAATCGCAAATTTCGCGGCCGCGTAGCGGTTAAACCATTAACATAAGGAATTTTTAATTTTGGTTTTTTTGCATTTTGTAGGGAACCAGTTTTCCTATCAGATCATTTTAAATGCATCTTAAACTGACAAACTCAATTTTGAGCCTAATATAGCCTGGTATCAATTATTATGGCGTACGGAAGTGGCTGTTTTAGTGGTTTATTTGATTGCTATAGCTATACCATATTCATATCAGCTTCATAATTGATTATTACTGTAAGTTCTAAGGTGTCGATAATTGGTGGTTAATATTGATCAAAACCGACCATTTGTTAACAATTAGTCACATATTTTATTCAATTTATTGTAATTCATGTACCAAATATGTGGTTAAGATACCATATATGTGCTGAAAACAGCGGTTAAATTGGTTTGAAACGTGCAATTACCCACATATATGAAACCACGTATCTACATTTGATACGTATCTAGTATCCTCCCTTAACAATTATTCTGACGTACTGAGTTGAATTTCAGAGCTTAATCATCGCTTGAATGACTTAAATGTACATCTTTGTTGGGTATATTTTAATGTCGAAGCGTGTAATAAATGTTAGAATTTATTTATTTATTTATTAAAATATGGCTATTTAGGTGGTTTATCTATCTGTATACTCACATGTCAAGATACGAGCTTCATTATTCATTTGTACTGATAATAATGAAGTGCTGTAAAATGGTGGTTAATAATGATCCAGAGAGATATTATTCTATCATTTATATGTAGAATGTAGATCATTGTTTGATAAGTCTGAATGGATGTACAAAATATTGTAAATTTGCAGCCGTCTCACATGTCACTATAAAGTGCTTGTCACTATATAGTCCTGTTCCTATATAGTGCAGCAATCCTCAAATTTATCTAACCATCTCATTATAGCTTGTTGTGCTCTCTATAGTACTGTTTGGCTATTATGGCAAGTGAACTCCAATCCATGTAGCAGAATCTACGTCTACTTTCTAGTAGATGTTTCTAGTAGTTACTTTCTTCTACCTCCATGCCATCTTTACCCAGCTGCCACTGCACCAGCACGTTATAATTGTAGTAACCTCTGAATGGTACCCTCTGCTTGTTGGTAATTGTACGAGATACTAGTCAAAAGCTATACTCGGGAAAATGTAAAATCAGCTATTATCTAATCTTTCTGCTTCGCCTAGCTCATGCTGTAAACGTATTTGTGTACTATCTTACTATATATAATATGACATATGTCAATAGAATGTAGTAAGTAAGATTTAGGTCTTCATTGTCTTAAAGTTAAGGCACTGCCCAGTGCCCAGTGTTTAGTTGTTTTCCCAGGTTCGTCCTTGTTGGCAATCTTACATCTACAAGGTTTAACTTGTATTGTGGTTGTGCACTTTACTTTGTCTTTAGTATCTTTGAACAACAGTTCATCAAAATAATCAAGGGGGGGGGGGGGGGGGGGGGGGGGTCCAACTACATTTTTGTACGTGGCCACCAGATTTTTGCCAAATGTACATTGTACATGTACAAAAATGTACAAAATATGTTTTTTCCTGTTTGGAAGTTCCCTGGATAGATTACTTGCTGTGGCTAATTTACAATGACAGGTACATCACATGGGAATGTATTTGATTACTTTAACACCTTTTCTGCTGTTCTTGACTGGTGGTTTTCAAGTAAACCAGAATGCCAGAAGTTATCTTACCTAGTTAGTAGAGTATTAGATTTAAAAGATATGCGACACTTTTAAAGGTTGCGATATATAATTATTTATGTAATATAATACTTATATGTACTTATGCAGGCATGTAATTGGTAGAATATTGTAATGTTTGATATAACTACATAACAGTACCTGTGTTTACAATCATTGTTGATAAAATGATATATTGTATAAATGTACCTGTTAACATTCAGATGAACTATTATTTTGTACAGTGCAGTGTTTGACTGAATTGTCAAACACTGTTTTGGTTCATACACATGCCACACACACAGTACACAGTACACACACACCTATTGCTTATTTGTTAGTATTAACTGCACATGACTACAGCCTTTATATATAATTGAGGGATGAAGTCCTTAGTTTATCCTGAACACATTTGCTTAATTGTTGCAGCTCTTAGTACCTTAGCCACTTAGTACCCTAGCTACTTAGTACCCTAGCTACTTAGTACCCTAGCTACTTAGTACCCTAGCCACTTGATACCCTAGCTACTTAGTACCCTAGCTACTTAGTACCCTAGCTACTTAGTACCCTAGCTACTTAGTACCCTAGCTACTTAGTACCTTAGCCACTTGATACCCTAGCTACTTAGTACCCTAGCTACTTAGTACCCTAGCTACTTAGTACCCTAGCTACTTAGTACCCTAGCTACTTATTACCCTAGCCACTTGATACCCTAGCTACTTAGTACCCTAGCTACTTAGCACCCTAGCTACTTGATACCCTAGCTACTTATTACTCTAGCTACTTAGTACCCTAGCTACTTAGTACCCTAGCTACTTAGTACCCTAGCTACTTAGTACCCTAGCTACTTAGTACCCTAGCTACTTAGTACCCTAGCTACTAGTTACCAAGTTAGTTAGTTACTTAGTTCCTTAGCTACTTAGTACCCTAGCTACTTAGCACCCTAGCTACTTGATACCCTAGCTTCTTATTACTCTAGCTACTTAGTACCCTAGCTACTTAGTACCCTAGCTACTTAGTACCCTAGCTACTTAGTACCCTAGCTACTTAGTACCCTAGCTACTAGTTACCAAGTTAGTTAGTTACTTAGTTCCTTAGCTACTTAGTACCCTAGCTACTTAGCACCCTAGCTACTTAGTACCCTAGCTACTTAGTACCCTAGCTACTTAGTACCCTAGCTACTTAGTACCCTAGCTACTTATTACCCTAGCTACTTATTACCCTAGCTACTTAGTACCCTAGCTACTTAGTACCCTAGCTACTTATTACCCTAGCTACTTATTACCCTAGCTACTTAGTACCCTAGCTACTTATTACTCTAGCTACTTAGTACCCTAGCTACTTATTACCCTAGCTACTTAGCACCCTAGCTACTTATTACCCTAGCTACTTATTACCCTAGCTACTTAGTACCCTAGCTACTTATTACCCTAGCTACTTAGTACCCTAGCTACTTAGCACCCTAGCTACTTATTACCCTAGCTACTTAGTACCCTAGCTACTTATTACCCTAGCTACTTAGTACCCTAGCTACTTATTACCCTAGCTACTTAGCACCCTAGCTACTTAGCACCCTAGCTACTTATTACCCTAGCTACTTATTACCCTAGCTACTTAGTACCCTAGCTACTTATTACCCTAGCTACTTAGTACCCTAGCTACTTAGCACCCTAGCTACTTATTACCCTAGCTACTTAGTACCCTAGCTACTTAGTACCCTAGCTACTTATTACCCTAGCTACTTAGCACCCTAGCTACTTAGTACCCTAGCTACTTAGCACCCTAGCTACTTAGTACCCTAGCTACTTAGTACCCTAGCCACTAGATACCCTAGCTACTTAGTACCCTAGCTACTTAGTACCCTAGCTACTTAGTACCCTAGCTACTTAGTACCCTAGCCATTACTTTAAAAAAGCCCGGTTATATTGCCATTGCTTGTAAGATACCATTTGCCATGATTTTATGTTGACCCTCGAATTAAAGCTCACAATTTAACCGCCCCTATTTCAGGATGTGTATATCAATTAACAGACAGAACTATTTTAAATTTTTATGTTAAATAATATATCTTCGTTTAAAACTGTTTAAAAACTGAGAGTGGACAATGGTAATATCTTTGAATTGTTTCATAACACCACTATATACTAGGTATACTTGTAGGGCCACGTATCCTGCAATGTATGTAAATTATATTTCTAGAAGGTTCTGTTGTTATAATATTTTTCATCTTTTTTTATATTTATACGTCAGTAGTAGAAAGGTGGTTTCCTTCTCCTGAGAACAGTAGTGCACCAAATACCAATTCTCCTCGAAACAGTAAAGCATTTAAAGTAATTCAGTGAACCGTTTTCTTATCCTGTTGATAACTTGGAGCAACAGATTCCTTATTCTGAAGACAATGTTTCACGCCTAGAACACTTACGGAATTCAAATGAGTGCCCTCGGTATTTTTGACTCTTGTTAACAGTAACATGCTCGTTCCCGTCTCCAGAATGATTATAAGGTAAAATGCCAGCACCCTCAAGAGAACAATGTCAATAACCTTCTTTGGATTTCAACAGTTCTACAGTTCCATAGGTATACAAATGTAAATAAACCTCTTAAGCTCAGTCAGCCTGTTTAGTTTGAAATTTTGATTCTTGTCTCTATCATGGACAACTTGGGTGTTTTCTTAGTGCTTCTACTTGTGAAGAAACCAAAGGTTGAGTTCTTCTCTAACCAGTTTTACCCTTTTGAAGTAGTAGTAGTAAATCTTTCAAAGTACGAAATATCTCTTTAAAAGAGCATCCTAGGCACCTTATAGATATCAAACGCATAAAAAAGAAAACAAAAACATCAACCATCTTCTAACTTCTTCCACTCCTCCCTATCTAAAGCTAAAAATCTAAGGTCTTCGAAATCAGTCAAATTCTTAAGTCTAATATCAAGATTTCTACTAGTCAAGTCTTTTCTAATAACATCTAATAAGTTTAAACATGGTCAGTGGTCTACCCCGTCTCCCTTCCATAAAAATATCAGAATTTATAGCAAATATTTTTGAAGTAGTGAGATTAACTATAGAACGACCTAAAATGAAGCGGTTTATAACGCGCAAAAATTGTGAACGTGCCTTTGTGGTATTTAGGAAGAAATTCGGATTTGGCGGGATAATCACGGACCTTGCATACGATGTATTTCCCGCCCTAAAGAATATACTAGAAGTTCTGGGAGAGTTTTCTACATGTTTGTCAGTCACAATTGTCTTTCTGCCGAACGGAAAAAAAATTGTAAGCAATTCTTCCGCTGGCGCCTAGCAACCACGCGCAATATAACCGAGCCGCGCGCAATAATTGATATCATATTGATGTAATTAATAATTTTAGCGTATCCAAGCTTCCAAAATCGACCATAACTTGACTTCAGATGATAAATTTACTAATTCATTAATATCATTCTAGATGTAATCGTTTAAACTTCAATTCAGTTTCAAATTTTAGTCCGAAAGAAGGTTAATTTTGTCTAAAATCGCCACTAAAGAGACAAATTCGGATTTATGTATAGAAAATAAACATATTGGCAGAACTTTCGAAGTCTTCAGCATTCTCTCTGGTATTGAACTGTTCAATTTCTCAGGTTTATACAACCCCCGGAAGTACAGACAACAAAGCAGACATAATCTGGAATATCGATAACCTCTAAAGCTCTAAGAGGACCCAAAATAAAAGCAACTCCTGGAGGCTGGGATTATGAAAGATTTTCACGAAACTCACGCCAGCTGCTTCACACATTGAAAATGATGAGAGGCTGGTGGATTGAAGTGTAGTCAAACAGTATTTTTCAACAGTAAGTTTGGCAGTTTGAGATGCACTTATAGATTTTCTTTCCCTACTGCACTCGCCACTCAAGTCTCAGATTTGATTTTACTCAACCGTATTATTATTTAGTTCCTTTCATTAAAATCTGTTTCAGATGTGGACAGTCATGCCCACTGGACAACTAAAAAGTGCTCCTTCGTTACCCTCCTATTCCAAACACTACATGTCAATAGTCCCAACAAAAAGTTATAAAACAAGCAGTCTTGACCTTCCTTTCCCACCATGACAGGCAGAATTAATATAGCTATCAAGTATTAGTAACTGCTAAAGAGGGATTGTCGTTGAGAGAGGCACTTAAAGGCACACCAAGTTTTACAACAGATAGAAACAGAATCCTTGGCAAACTGGGCCCAGCCCAAAACGGACCAAATCAGACTGATAAAAACTGCTCATATCTGCAGCTATAGCAGCAATTTAAAATCTATGCTATAGCTGATAGCGACGACTCCGAACTGAATACTAATCGATGCATATGCAATACTGCTCACGTCTGTTACTTGTATTTAAAAATAATCAGAGACAGACATTGTTATTTCTATTAAATTGTAGTATAATGATGCTTTGCGTATAGCTGCTTTGCCATTTCTAATTATGAATTTCATCCTAGAGTAAAACTTTTAATATAATTAACTAATCAATATTAACCTAACACTGTCACTAGAGAAGCTTTTTGATGAAAATAGTAAACAACTTGTTTCAGTTCAAACTAAATAAAGGTCAGACCGGGATTCGAACCCTCAGCTAGCACGGTCAATCGCCCTCTTAGCCAACTAGGCTATCGTGCCGGATGCCGAAAATCAATATTAACTATCATATTGTCGTGCTCGCGCATTCCCTACGCAAAGTTATTCTACTACGATGTATATTTTTAGCCATTTTGGGGCTATTGCGCGGCGCGGAAGCTTTAAACCGTCATAACTCTGTCCAGGAACAGTCTCCAGAACTGATTAAACTTGTGATCTCCTAGTCAGAGGATGTACTTTACGAAGATATATGATTTGTCATACCTGCGTCCACACAGTGGAATCACAAATGGGTATAGTCGCGAACGCAAAGAAACCGCAGGGTCATTCCGCCAAATCTTTATTCGTTATTTTATTCGTCATTATTATATGTTAATGAACATAATAGCCTGGGGTCCTCAGGTAAAAACTTAATTGACTCTGAACCGAAATTGCCAAAGGAAACAGATAGTGTAACTCAGAAAGACCACAAATGTATAGTTTGTGAGATATTGAGGTTATACTCCAAATAATTTACAATGATGTCACACCAGAAAACCTCTATTTTTGGTATATTTAACCTCATATCTCGAACGCGCAGTACTGGATTGAGCTAAACTTGGTCAGGTTTTGTAGACCTGACTATCCTCGATCATATGCCATATGGAACAGGAATAAAACTGTTTAGATGTTCTATCTTAATTATATTAGGCACTTAGTTCTGAAAAGTGAGAATGTCATTAATACTGCTTTCGCTGGATTAAATTGAGTTTTGTTCATTTGTAACGTTATCTTGAGAATGAGAAAATGATGTGAGATATTTTGAATATATAATTATATGATTATATGAGCCTCAAATTAATATTGCTTATTTTAAACATTTAACTGGTGGCACTATAATATCAAAAAGTAGACTAGTATTGACATTGTAAATGTAAATGTAGTAAAAATTCGATTAATATTGGTTTACGTGTTACTGTTAGTGAACGAGCGTGCTAAATGCCAAATCTCTCTAACTCTAAGTCTACAGTCGATCTGACTGTAGAGCCCCTGACAGTTGACATGAAACTTACCTGATTCGATGTATTTTCGAACGCTGATTCCTAATCATCCCACATGACATTGGGTTAAATTTAATTAATGCTCCCCTAGCGAGATATCGGCAAAACTGTATCGATCACGTGATTTCACCGCATAGCCATAAGGAATCAGGTCCTAAGTTCTGTACGTGACGTCGACTAGTGTAATTTTGGAATTTTTCAAAAGACCCACCCACCCCCTTCGCGGTACTATAACTGTAACTGGTTTTTTTTTTCGGATAATAATTTAATTACAAATTAAGAATACGACATACACCCCTTTTGCGGGCTTTTGAGCATTGAGGTACTAACTGTTGAGAAATCACGGTACTATTATCCGATATTGAATGTAAACAATTAAACTAACAGTTGAACTTGAGATATCTATGCTTAATTAAATACAGATTATACAATGCTAGCGGGCTGAAAAATGCTGGGCCTTTTTAGTAGCAGGCTGCTTGACCATTGTTAATGGTCTGGCCCGGCGCGCGCTACTTCGTAGCACTTGCCGTCGTGCACTTGCCGTCGAGAAGAAAGCGGCCCCAGAAAACCTTACCGCCTGCTGGGCTTGCTAGAGGTGATAGATTTTCAACAGCACGTATGGCGTCGCGCGTCACGTCAAGTTTACCTTTCGCACGCTGCATTGAGCCTAGTAGTCATGACAACGACATTTCTTTGCAAAGTTTAAAAGCTGTGATCATTTTTTTAGCCCAAAATCAAACATTTCGGTTTAATTCAGAATCTACGTTGTCCCCAATTTGGCTCCTGGGGAGCCAACTGTAAATTCACGAGACGGAAATTTTGTTGAAAACCGGAAGGTTCTATCTATTTTACTTTTGGAGATATACCCCAGATGGTAGGGTTTGCTGGGCCTATAACCTACGCGCGTTCAAAAGAATTTGCACTTTCATTTTAAAACGTTCACTTTGACGAACCATAACTCTCCACCAATCAAGTCAAATCTCAATTTTAAAATATCAAAAGAAAGTAGAGAATTTCGCCAACAAGAAAGGGGACTCCTGGATGGGTAGGTAAAAACGCAATCTTCGCCCTCAAAATCGACTTTTAAAACTTCATACATATTCCGCCGAAATTATAAGTCTTATATCGCAAAACATCCCCTACCTCCCTGCAACCCCCCCCCCCCCCCCCCCCCCTTCCATTCCTCCCCCCCCTTACTTCTGCTTTCTTTTGCAGCTGAACTTATATGAACTCTCATGCAGCTCTCTTGCCTACCCAGAAAACCTTACCGCCTGCTGGGCTTGCTAGAGGTGATAGATTTTCAACAGCACGTATGGCGTCGCGCGTCACGTCAAGTTTACCTTTCGCACGCTGCATTGAGCCTAGTAGTCATGACAACGACATTTCTTTGCAAAGTTTAAAAGCTGTGATCATTTTTTTAGCCCAAAATCAAACATTTCGGTTTAATTCAGAATCTACGTTGTCCCCAATTTGGCTCCTGGGGAGCCAACTGTAAATTCACGAGACGGAAATTTTGTTGAAAACCGGAAGGTTCTATCTATTTTACTTTTGGAGATATACCCCAGATGGTAGGGTTTGCTGGGGCGCGCGCTACTTCGAAGAAATTTAGACGAGTAACATCCGTCAAGCAGGCTGCGCGTGCCGGCCGCTGTAGCAAAAAGAGCCCGCTGGTCCGGCTGGTGGATATAAAGCTGCACTGTTTCAGTGTATACGACTCGCATGGACACAACAGGTAGGGTGAGAATCCCTGCCACGTTTTTGGTCAGCTTCGCCGGGGCTCATGTCTTTCCTCGAGGGAGCATTAGTGTCTACAGAAAAACTGACAAATCCTAGCGAAGTCGAAGTCCAATCCGAACCACATCTTCCATCAGAGGTGGTGCTGGGTCAGCTGGTTACTGAACGGATTGGCCTGGAGAAAAGCATAGTCCTGTTATTCTAAAGTTAACCATAGAGGGGGTCAGGCGCTGTTCGCTCACGGCTGGTTCTTGGAGCCAACACCCTCGGCCCCACAGAAGTGGGAGCACTGTCGGTGGTGGCACACCCAGATATTGATAACGGACAGTGTCTCTCCTTCTTTCTTCTTGGACTTGCATTGTTGCTGGTGAGTCAGCTGGCAACAGTGTACCATACTTTCATATTCATGTTCTCTTCCCCACTTCTCCTACACCTCACTTTATTACTCACTCATTCACTCACATGCCGCCTTAGGGCCGCTACCAGTTAGAGGGGATCTAACAATCAGACAAACTGCCAGCCTTAGGGCCGCTACCAGTTAGAGGGGATCTAACAATCAGACAAACTGCCAGCTATTGGAGATATAGCACTTAGATTATTACCAGCAAACGTAAAATTAGCAATAATTACGTGAACAAAGAAATTGCCAAATTGCGACAAAAAAGGGTCTACTCAAAATTCAAATATCGCATGTAAATTCGTGAATCAGCACTTTAGTATAGCGCGGAAATTGAGCCGCGCAAAGACAAAGATATAACACACAAACAACAAAGATATGGGTGAATTCCATCGGAGGCTCAGGCATGCCTGGTAGGTTCCTGTCAGCCCACTAGAATGACAGGGGGCAGCCTGTTCTATCGAGTACCCGGGAGAACATCCAGGCATGGGTGGTGTTCTCCCGTGAACGAGCATTATGACAGTTTCCCTTACGGGAAACGTCGCTCACCAGGCTTTATCCTCTGGAGGGGCGGGATCACTAGCCCATGCCAAGTGACCCAAACCTACTGACACCTACAACCAGAGGAACCCCAATAGACGTTAGTCACTAACTGACGGACGTAGCCTCCCAATAGGGAGGTAAAGTGGGTGCCCCAACATGAAAAAAAAAAAAAAAAAAAATGGACACAACAGCTTTCAAAAGGTCCGGTCATTATATTGGTGGTGATGGTATGTACTGAAACATTTTTGTACTACATGACACATCATCACCAAGAACCATTAGTTGAAATACATTTTTAAATAAATTAAACACTGCACCTTCTCAAGTGCTAAGTGGAAAAGTCAACAAAGGCCACTTTTTAAAATGATACAAAAGATCAATCACATTCTGTTTAATAAATAATAGTAATACCCGGCCTTATTTACTTACTGTTTTTGGGTAAATTAGACCTAAGAGTCTTAGGTCTAATTTACCCAAAAACAGTAAGACCCACCATTAAGTACCATTTACTAACTGTTTTTGGGAAATGGGCAAGTTACCTACTAGTACTATGGCCCTACTATTAGTAATGCAGTCGAATTATATAAAAAGTTACAAAAAAACCAATTCCCATAATGGAAATTTGAGGTAGAATGGGTTTTTTGGGGTTGGACACCCCCCCTCTTAGTTCCATGTACTAACTATTTTTCTGGGAAATGAGCAGCAGACCCACCACTTATTGCTACACATTGTATACCTCTCGTGCACGCGAAGCGTGCACGCCGGCCGGCCGCGCGCGCTCAAAAGGGGTTGCAGCGTGTGTCAAACCACTTAGTACAAAATTACTAACTGTGTTTTGGAATTGAAAATATGACCCACCACGGCACCACCCCAACGTCAACAGTCACGTACACTACTAGTATTATATTTATATACTAGTACTAAGCGCGCGATCCTCCCTCCCCCCGCTAGAGGACGCGTTAAAAAGGTCACATGACAGTCGAGTGTAGATTAATCATTATCATTTAGTGAAATTGCATGTGACAATTTAAAAAGCCAATATTTTTACCAATCCATTTGCTACAAGTGCGCCGAGAGAAGAAAGAACTAATAATTAGTAAATTACAGTAGTCTCTCATGGTCTCTACAAGTACAACTACAACGTCGCTTTCTTTTTGGATGAAAGCTTTATCGTAAAATAACCGCGTTGCGTAACGGTAAACTTAATTGGAAGAACATAACGTGCTGTTATCGCCAAAATAAGAGGTATGAAGCAATCATAAAGATAACAGATAAGCTGATAATTAATTATGCCTAAGCGAGCTCCAATTCAGTATTAGACCTGTCCACTTTCTGATTTGTTTACCTACTCTGATTAATCACGTGATTGCCTTCCAGCCAATCATAATCATGATTACAAAGACACCTCCTATATTATCATACAAGATACCGATGTCACTGCCATCTACAGCCAATAAGCATCTAGCAGAGGAAACAATCACTTCAGTCTGTTGCACTTGCATATTATAATTGTAAAGTAGTCATACAACGAAAGCAGGCAATTTTTTAAGATTTGAATATTTAGTGTACGTATCTACACCTTGTTAAAGCACTTGTCACTTGAGTAGGAAACCATTGAGTACTGAGTATTGACTAATATCCATTTAAATAACTCTACACTCGAACTTCGAGGTTTTTCTATAATATAATGTATAAGGGTTAAAACCAACTTCTATACAGTATACGTTTATAATTATGAACGCTGATTCTGAATCACCCCACATGACATGGGTGATGGGATTAAAATACTCCCCTGGCGATTTATCGAAAAAGCAGCCAAATTGTCACTTAATAAGTTAACACTAATAGATATGAGAGTATGAGGTTAGGAAACCGTTGAGTACTGACTAATATCCGGTTTACCAATGTCAAACATTACTGATGAATAAATAATATATATGAATAATTCTATACAATATCGCATTGTTCTATTATATCCTTTAATTAAATGACATTGACAGTCCTACGCATTTGAAGATTATTCATATTCAGAGTGAACTATACTGTAAAGCATGAGCAGCATACAAGGAGTGTGGCTGGAGGAATGCACATAATGAGTGCTAGTATATTGCACCAAACCGTAGGAATAATCTGAAGAGTGAGAAGGCCGGAGTTGCATTTTTTTAAATGCTCATAAATTTCAAAAACTGTTATAATAATTTAATCTATCATTCCATACCATATTTAGTAGTTTGTTAGCAATTTCATTGCCTTTTAAGAATAACTTTGGTGTACACATTTGTGGATATCGACTGCTAGGCGATATTTGAAATGTTGTAGATAAATTATTAAACGAACCTTTATTTTTAAATGACTACCTAACCGACTATTGAATGCTTGAACAGGCTCGTGGAGCAATTTCTTTGGGTCGAGAAATATTTGAGTCACCAATGACCAAATAACCCCTACTAGGGAACGTCGCTGTCGCACAATGAATCACCACTAAGTATATAATCTGTAAAATCACGGCGAGACTGCCACACTCGTACAGTGGAAATTTGAGGAAATTAAAAATAGCGATCCAACGGCGCCAATGGTATTAGTTATCAATTGTATTGACATTTGTCGCTATAAATCACTACTATCATATGAAGCATCATATTATTATTAAGCATTACCAGTAATATGACTTACAGTATAATGATTACGACAAAGTGTTTGCTGAGTAGGAGCTGAAGGAGTTTGTTTTTCCAGAACCCGTTTCTGACAAGAAAAAGCGGATAAAGTACCCCGTCAGTCATGCTCGAGGCGATTAACCATGATCCAAAACCAAACTATAGCTATGTAAACCACAATCTGTAATGAAAGAAAAAAAGCTCATTATTTGGACCTCTTGTTGTACATGGTGCTCCCAGGTAATCATATCGTGAACATGTGACCCACGGGCCACGACCAATGATAATAATCATAATGATAAACAGTACCGCCAATTTTATTTATATTTTTGCAACTTTCATTACAACAATGTCCATGACTCTAAGTACAGATCGAACAACTAATAGATAAATATTTCTCTAACTTCTGAAATAATTCTGAATACGGTTCCATACAAATTCTGATATATCAAACACAATTGCAAACTTAGTAAAAACAGATTGCGACATTATAAATATTGATTACAACCTTTAAAAGTGAATCCCTCTTCGCAGACTATAGATCTATACTTAATCACTAATTATAAAATGTAACTATCAATTCAACCTATGAAATCTCCATACAAATAGATTTGACACAGTCAACTAGCTCGCAAATTTAACAGCGATTTAGCGGATTGGGGCCGTTTTGGTGGCGCCGATCTTCCTTCACTCAACCATATTATCAGCTGCAGTATTACTATTATATTATTATACGACAGTTTAGCGGGACCAGCTGCAGAGATATATGATTAGAGCGGGATATTTCATATTTCACAGGCACTGAGTTAGTGAAGTGTCAACTGCAAATCATAATAACGGGTTTGCTTAACCCCCGCGGCGTTTTCTTCAAAAAACCAAACAGACAATTTGTCTGTAGCGTTGAATTACATGATTTGTAATCATTATATCCGAATATCTAGTCCAGAGTTCAGGTAAGCATGGAGAGCCTCGTGCCGACCAGGTGTTAGATGCCCCATTAGTAGTGTCTCACAAGTTTTTATCAACGAAAGTATTGACGAAGGAGCAATAGGTGTGATTGACCTTTAAGTAGAGGACATTAATTCGGGCAAACCCATCATTTTCCTAACTATATCTGGAGCACACCTCTACCCGCCTCAATCTGGTCACAATGTCCGGTCTCCCAGGAAGATGCCCAGTAATGCAGTTAGAATTGAAGTCAGCTCGTACCAATATTTGCTGGGTACCGTCCCTGCAATGAGAACAATTAATTTAAAAAAAGGTGCCCCATAAGTAGTGTCTCATAAGTTTTTATCATCGAAAGTATTGACGAAGGAGAAATAAGACAAGACTTTAGTTTGATCATCTGATGATCATCTGAAGTATTATACTCACGTAAGTTTAGAGGTCCTAACGCCTCCATGAGACTGAGTCTTGCTAGCTGGTTCCAGGAAACAGGATATAAACTCAGGAAGAGAATGCCACAATCCCGTCCTCTTATCCTCCCACTCCCAACTAAACTCCTTGGCAGGGTCACGTACCAGACTGTTAGAGGACACGGTGTCATCACGTGATAAAGTGGTTGCCAGGGATACGGTGCGCTGGATGACGGGCATGAATCTGTGGGATGAGGTATGGAGATGTGGGAAAATGGAGCGTGATTTTGTATTGTATATTTGTAACTAGTCCTCATTATGAGAGACAAGTCACTAGTGAGCTTATTAACACTGCATATATTTGTATATTAATGCTACAGAGTAGTACCAGAGTACGGGTACACATGGCACTATAATAGAGAAACATGGCTCTAAAGGACAGGGTAATTAGTCTCCTCTAACAATCGCACACTTCAGTGCTTCACAATCCTCACTGTGGAATTACAGGGATCGTTCTAAAGCTCCTACACACGGCTTTGTTTAGTTTAGTTCAGGGATTACACTTTTACCCTCTCCTTTAAAATGTAAGCGTTTCGCAAAATCATCCGGCAACTTGGGCACATGAATAGCCTTAGGGACATTATGTTAGCTTTTTGCGAAATATTCTCAGGGCAGGCAAGGCTATCGTCTTCGTGTATTTTTCCCATAATTTAAGCTATAGATGTTGAAATATCGCAATGGTGAAAACCATAGACTGACTATGACCCTAACCATTGAGCTCTTACTATCATCCCACAAGCCCACTCCTTCAACCAAGATTCATTGTCGCGTCGGATTTTGTCCGCTCTGGCGAGGAAAGTGGCATTAAAAATGAGCCGTGCGGTGCTGTAGGAAGTCGATTCTAATGTGCATAACGCATGTAATGAAATTATCATAGGCCCTAAGTACCGGTATGTGCTGTAAGAGAGTAAACTACATAGTGTTAGAGCTGTGGCCTGTGCAGTAGACTACTGCCTTGTTTCCTTGTATGGAATCATGATGTGGTCTCGTTGTGAATATAATGCGTCTTACTCTTAGTTCTTAGTTCTTCGGCCGTTACGCACTATGTTAGATTAATTTATGTTAGATTAATTTATGAATATCTGACACATTTTGTGTCGTTGTTACATCCAGAAAACGTGCTTCTCTGATCTAGATACGATTCTCTGAGAGATCGTGACAATTCGTTAGTATCAACTAACAAGTTAGATTTTAGGATCTAAATTCTTTGTTTAAAGGTTTAATATCGAGCAATTCTACTTTCCTTCAAGAGCAAGATGACACTAATTTAATACAGCAGTCTTAGTATCAGCTATCATAATTGAATATCATGGCCACAAGCCAACAGTGTACAGACTCCCAATATGGAATAATTGGATAGTTTCTCTGCACCTGAGTAGATTTACTTGCTGAGCGGTGGCTGTAGTTTCGTTTAATATACGTGAAAGTTCTGTATCCAAACATCGAAGAAAGTCGAAACTAACTTTCATCATATCTTGAAACTGATCAATTTATAGCCTGGACGTGACTTGGCCACTTACAGGTGCTCTCACACATTTCTGAGTATCAGGTTTCAGTTTCAACGTTTACAGTTCCTGGCAAGTTCTTGTGTACAATGCCGTACTGTTTTCTTTTGTTTTGGCTCGATATACCTCTATGACAATTTGATAACAGATAACTGAGATAATGAGCATGAGATCTGTTTTGGGATTTGCGATCGTAGAAATATTATTCCTTATTATTCAAACTCGAATATTTGAATATATCGGCTCTAATTCCATTTCATTCACAGACAAAGGATGATCTTAGCAGCAATACCGATAGCTCTAATCCTATTTGTGATAGTGTTTCACATTCTGACCTACTTTCACCGGCGAAAGTATTCCCACATTCCTTCCATACCAATCCCTGCTTCTCCAAAATGGATCATCGGACATGGCCCCTTCATTGTACAAAAAGCAAAATTGTTGGGCTTCGACTTGACAGCGATCGTGGAATCATTCAGAGCGGACCTAAGCGCAGACACTATCGTTATTTTCAGCCCTGGAATTAAGTCTCCTATGATATATTCTGTTAGAGAACCGTTCTACTCAAAGATTTTGAGCGATCACAAAACGTTCCTAAAACCACCGCCGGCACTGGACTATGTTAACGGAGTGAGAATATTAGGACCGAAGGGTATTTTGTTGGAAAAGGGTAGCGAAGTGTGGTACCACAAGCGCAGGACGATGGATCCTGCTTTCCACAAAAAGTTTCTTAGGATATTAATGGACAAAATGAATGAAAAAGCCAGCAAAGTAAGCAATTACCTAGATAGTCTACCTGATAAGAAAAACATTGACATTCTGCCAATTTTGGAGAGAACAGCTTTGGAGGTAATCTGGAGCTGTGGTTTCAATGAGACAGACGACATCATCACAACTGAAGACTCGCCAATAAACCAGGCTGTAGCGGACATATTCAGGGTGGGAGCAATGAAAATATTCAACTTCACCTTTTGGATACCAGGAACTTTTAAAGCGGAGAAAAAGCTGCTGTTCGAAAAAGCAGAGTATCTGCGGGGCCTGATGACTGAGCGTCTGCAGGACCGATTTGATTCCATAACAGCAGGGACTGACACGACAAATGACATCTTGTCCTACATCATCAGAGCTAACCAGTTCTCAGACAAGCTCACCATCCAGGACGTTGTGGACGATTTCTTTGTGTTCTTGATAGCAGGCATGGAGACTACAGCCATCACTATGTCAACCTTACTTTGGTACATGCTCAAGGATAAAGAAATGGCCAGGAGGTTGGTGGATGAGGTGAATGTGGCATTTGGAGACAAGGAAGAACTGGAGTTTGACGATTTGAACGATCTTGTTTACCTAGAGCAGTGTATTAAAGAAGTGTTAAGGTTACATGCTCCTTCAAGAATCTCGTTCAGAATCAGTCCAGATAAGCCTGTCACAGTTGATGAAATTGTCTTACCTCCACAATCCAGGATCCTAGTTTCTATTGAGGCAATCCATCATACGGAGAGTATCTGGCCGGAAGCAGATAAGTTTGATCCGAGCAGATTTGACCCCGGTAAGGATATCCGACCTTTCACTTACATGCCTTTCAACGCTGGACCTAGAGTGTGTATAGGAAAACATTTCGCAATGATGGAAGCTAAGATTGTTCTAGCACGGTTACTCCGAGACCTAACTCTGTTTGATCCGTACCCAGAGGAGAAGAAACTAGAGATTCACACTCTTCTCCTGGCTCGACCAAAGAAGGGTGTTTTTGTGGGAATAGTGGAGTGAGTTAAACTGTTGGAAGCACGTGTAGCATGATATGTGATACAGGTTATAAAGCTCATATTGGACTGAGAGTTATCAGCAGTTGGTGTGAAATGTGAACAGCACTGGAAGATGAATGATGAACATGGTAATGAATTTGCGAAATTATTTCAAGACAATATTGAAAATATCAAACTGATTAACTTACGAGGAATTGATATTGTTCGCTTGAACTCCAGGGTGTCTCAAAAAGGTCTTAACCATTTTGTTCTGATTTGAATCGTACTTGACACTTTCTGCGGACGTACTTCGCTGTCGATCAGCTCGCTTCGGCACTGCCTGAAGTAAGAAAAGTGTACCAGATATGTTTTACCTTAAATTGTAAATGTCATATCAATCTAGACGAACGTTTAGTTGCATATTTACAAAAATGGTTTTTTAATTTGTCGGGAGCGACGAGGCCATTAAAAAACCCCCTCATATTTTTGCACTTATTTTCATGATACATTGTTGCAGCACAAAGCAAGTACTTCCAACATGCCTAGACTTGCCCCATCATTGTTATTTGTTAATACAGTTTCCAATTTCCATGCTGATGATGTAAAACTATTCCACATTCCACAAACTGGAGTCACTCCCATTTCAAACAATCGAGATAGAAACGTACGTGTGCGCCACACAATATTATACTTTTAATGCTGGAGTGCTTGAAAAATGCGCGCGAAAAATGAATTTAGCTGACATGACATGGTAAGTAATTCGGCCTAATCTGTGAGATTCCTAGACTATAAAGTATTACCATCTTAGGAGCAACTGACTTAACATCATCTCCAGTAAATTCAGTAGCAGTTGTAAACAGAGCGTTGGGTTCTGCTATCTCCGCGGGATTTTGTACCACGTGCTCTATCATAGTGGAATTGGACATCGGGGTTACTGGCTTTTTGGCTGGCATGGTTGGGGTTACTGGTTGTTGGAATAGATTGACTGGCTTTATGTCCTTGTCCTTGTTCTCGACTCGGCGTATTGCGTATTCTTCGTTGATATTTGGGTCTACCAGCACGAAACTGAACAAGGGAATTGTAATTATTTGCTAACGAAACTGGTTTACTAAATACTTTTCAAATTTTACAGAGTACAGCAATAAATTAATATAAAATAGAATCGTTCAAAATATTGCCCCCATCTGTAAAATAAGATGGGCCCAAACACGGTAAACTATGTCCGCAATTACTTGGACCAATGGACCCAATACATCAAATTTATCTAAATCCAAAACTTATTAAAAGACTAATGGTTGATTATTTAAATAAGTTACAATTGGCACAGTACTTTTTAAACTTTACATTAATAGTAAACGATACCAATTTACAAGTAATTTGATATGATTCACGTACTTAGTTCAACACGCACTATAGTTCGACAACTTAAGTTCGCCAGAAATCACCCCTGTCGCAATTCGGTACGTGTCGAACTAGAGTCCAGGTAGCGTATTCTAGTTCGACAAATAGTTTCTGCCTGTGATCCAACGGCTATTGCCGGGTCCTCATCATAGGATAACAGGGTTCAATGGCAGATAAAACAATTTTCTGACATCTAGCAACCAGCGGTTAGAAATTTCAAAACCTTTTAGTATAGTTTTAATTCTCCTGTTTGCCACTCGGTTCTGGTCTAGCTAACAGGAAAATATATTGATATCCGACTGTTTCCGATTCAGCAGCCAAATCTCTAGACCGGTACTCGGTTACTAGTCGTTTGTGATAATAATTAATATAAAGTGTGGTATATGGTAGATATTTATATAGCTTACTCTAGATCTATAAAACAGAGTACGAGGTATCTCTCCGCTCAGTCTACAATTCTGCTAACTAACAATTGAGTCTGAGGTCAATTAAATGTTCATAGATATGGATTATAGAGATTACCTTCACACATAGTTGAACAGCATGAAACAAGTGGAAAACAAACAAACGAATAGATTTCAAGCTCGTAACTTCGTAAAGGATCGTTGCTTGAGATCGGAGATTTCAAAACTCTAGTTCGACAGTCGAAGTTCTCTCGTCGAACTTTAGTACGTGTCGAACTTGAGTCCAGGTGGCGCACTTTAGTTCGACAGAACCTTCGGGTTTGTTTAACTACAGTACATGTGAAATTAAAGTGCGTGTCGAATTTGAGTACGTGTAGTGTGTACCATTTGATATGAATCATGTATGAAAACTGAATCTGCTTACTAGGGATCAAAGTAAATCCAGTAAGCCTGGTTGTTAAATACGACAGTCAGCCTAGGTTTGCTCTCCGAGAAGGCCATTTCCATCAGTTCGCTCGTGCTTGTGTCGAATGGTAACCAACTCTTATCTGCACCTTGATGCTCCCAGAGGCCTGAAAAATTTAACTTTCATACTCAGATCCTAAATTAAAGAATCCAGGATAGTTTGGAATCAACCAGATATCCTAATCAGGCAATTATCCTAATCAGGCAATTATCATAATTACCGGGTGTTTAATATCAATAAATTGATCACGCATTATCTAGGTATATAAATATTATACAATGCGAGGAGAAGTAACGTACCTATGGGTTTAATGAAAGAAGGTCTAGTTTTTACACTAGGAGGTGTGGGGGTAGAAGTACGAGGGGGAGGCGACACACTCTTTACACTCCGCTGAACTTTCCTCTGTTTCCCTGTACTTGTGTTCGTCTGGATCCTGGACTTGGTGTTTACACTGTACTTTATACTGTTGATATGCAGGATAACGCACGCTGTGCCGTGCTGTAAGTAAGCAGATTCTAACTTGTTGGATTGTTCTGGAAGGTAGTGGTTCCAGGTGTTGTCGTTAGTAAGCCACTGCCAGACAGGGCTAGGCTGGCTCAGTTGGAGGGTCTCGTCTCCTGCTGTTTGGAACATCTTGTTGGTCTCTTCTACAGCTGATACCCAGTTACCTGCAATGCAGTTTACTTAATGTTACAGTGACCAATTAGTAAGTTAACTGAAGATGGCACAAGACAGGATTGAAGCAAATTTGAAAATCACCTAAATGTATTTCTAATACTAATTATACCGGTAGTACATTTTCAGATATAATAATACATTTTTGTTCATCTGAGTTGATTCTTGATTCGGAGGAAAAACAGGTTTATTCAATATTAAATTGACTGGAATGTTCCAATAATACAATAGACGATCTGGACAAAAAGTAACTTACCAACAGGTCTCGAGGCAGATTTCTTAACTATTCTATCATAGACAAGTTTAAATCTTCCAATCTTCCTACTGGATCCAGAGGAAAGAGATTTGACGGTGTACCGGTTAAAGTCGACTGTGTAACCGGGGTGGGAGGAGTCTGCAGCTTTTAGACTCATCTTACTCTCTCCCCGCAGGTAAATAGCATCAATCACTGAATACAGCGATTGCTAAAAACAATACCAGAAATAAACATCAATACGATACGTTGATTATAAAAGGCACCAAAAAGCCAAAATAATGATACAATATTTTAGTAAATAAAATTGAAATAATATGTTCAGAAACCTTCGTTCTGTTTGGGATCGTAAGGACACCAGTTATCATTATCCCCCATCCAATGCCACAACACAATCTCCTGGGAGCTAGAGAGTGGTGGAAGTAAGGGCAGGGATATCTCACCCTCTGGGAATTGTTTGTGGTACACTGACAGGATGTCCTTGGAGATGTCGTGGAATATAACATCTCGCTCAATCGCTACTATAACACGTTTCAACAACCCTGGGAAACGTTACGATAACACGTTACCTTCAGTTTCAGCTAATGTAACTTGATGTGTTTTCAAAAGAAAACTACTATCCTGACTTACAAATTAAAATACTTATCATGCTTTAAATCATTACCGGTCATTACTGACAATTCCCACACCGGCTTCACATTTACCATTGCCAAACCGGGATAAACAAATAATAATACAAGGCCAATGAGCAAGACTAAGCTACCTGATAAAACCTTTACAGCATTAACAAGTCTAGGAGCTAGGTACGTACCACACAAGTCTAGGAGCTAGGTACGTACCACACAAGTCTAGGAGCTAGGTACGTACCACACAAGTCTAGGAGCTAGGTACGTACCCTTTACAGCATTAACAAGTCTAGGAGCTAGGTACGTACCACTATATTTGGTATTAACAAGTCTAGGAGCTAGGTACGTACCACTATATTTGGTAATAACACTCTGCACCACCTTTACAGCATTAACAAGTCTAGGAGCTAGGTACGTACCACTATATTAACAAGTCTAGGAGCTAGGTACGTACCACTATATTTGGTAACAACACTCTGCACCACTTGTGCGACATGTCGGTGAGGAACACGGCGTCCCTCAGTCAGATGGGGCGTGATAACCAGACAGTCAGCACCGTGTGTCGCCGCCGTGCACAGTAGGATACTCAGCTTCCTTTTTAGGAGGTGTACTTCTTCATTTGTCAGGTTTAGGTTCTCTTTCTGTCTCTTTAACTAAGGTCATAATATCATAACAGTTTATTTATTTATATTGAAAGAGCTGGAATTCAACTTTCAAGTCCCATGAACAAATATAAAATTGATAGTAATGAACAAGTACACGAAAGACAAGAGATTGAGGTACAAAAAACAATTAGCGCAAAAGCATGTCCTATTGTACTCTGGTAGCAGGGAGGTGTTGAGTCATATTATATATTCTAAATAAGTATTGATATTGTGCATACCTTAGGAAGAGGTGAAACAGAGAAGACGTCTACAAGTTGAGTTTGATCCAGGAAGAGGTAGTTTCTCTGTTGGGACTCTCTGAAGACGGTGACGTTGGTGTTGACTTGACACTCTGTAGGCCCTAACAACCCCATACTTCCCGTCCTTCTCTCTCCTTTCATCGGTCTGAAAAGGAACCCATGTTATTACATTTTATTATTTAATTAGATTAAAATATGCTTGATTCCGTCCAATCTAAACCTAATTCACAGCATATAAAGAAATACAACTAATAAAAGTAATATAATGTATATTGATGATGATAAAGTAATAACCCACCCGTCTACATGATCTACACATGTGTAGTAAGAAGACCTCCTGATGAACTCCTCTAAGGGCCCTATCCCGCCCGTCCGCCACTCTCCACCTGGCTGGTGCGGGTTTGCGGGTACGAACAGACCTGGCCTGTAACCACTCTTCTGCAAGTGGAGACAAACCTGCCGAGTTTTAGAAATGTTTAAATTAAACTTGATCTTGACTACTGTAGCAACTTTTACTGTTAAAACCTAATAATAAGAGAATAATATAACAATCTGATTCTGAATGAAATCTGGTGATTAGAACCTGTATGGGGTCGACGTTGATAACGTTGATATCAGTCTTGTTGAAGCGGAGAGGTGGAGGTTGGTGGAGAATACTCTTATCCTCAACAAACACCTCAGTAGTAGAGTCAGGGAGGTGGACTGTACTGTTAGCTGAGTTCACATAGCATCCTCTCTGTACACATTCTCTTGTACCCATCATGGTACCTACCAGGAGCCAGCTCAACTTCTTAACCTGACAGAGATACAAAGATAAGGGAAGGGAAGATAAATGTAAACAGAGCCTTGACAAATCCGAAACAGAGATGGAGCAACATAGTTTGGCTGTTGTACTGTTGTACATACCAGCAATATCAAACAAAAAATGTGGTTGTCCAGTAAGGTTTAGAGTCTAGAGAACCTTTTTTTCACAAAAATTAGTTGCCATTTTTCATTTTCACCAAGTGGAACCTTCACACGTGGAATTGCCCATACCAGTAGTCAACATACTTCTAGTCTGTACTATTATATAGTACCAGTAGTAGTCAACAGAAGATATAAATACTGACCTGCATTTTTCCCTAAGGCTATTACACCTCATGAATAGTGTGCCCTTCACAATAAATCTTGCTCTTTGATAGGTAAGATGATTGCAAGTTGGTGATTGAAGAGCTTTAAAGGCTTGTAGATAAAATTAGCAGCAAGTATTTACGCAAATAACAAAGCAACTTGCTCGAGATCTTTAAAAGCTAATTGTAATACTATCGCGATCCAATCTTACCAAAAAATCAGGACATTGTTAAAACTTCTCGTCGACAATGAATACCATCAGCTCGGGGAATGAGCTTCTTTTATAGTAGTCAGAGGAGGGTAAAAGTTTCTTTTCTATGATACGGAGCACACTATATAAATAATACCAACTGGTCAGTGGTCACAGTGACAGAAAGGTCGAGCTAGGCATTGCATCTAGCTGTACTAACTTATCTGTTGACCAGTCGGTTGCTATGTGTATTTTGAGTTGCCGATTTTATTTTCAGGTTTTTCTCGATTTAAAAAACATTACTATATTCACATTCAGTTTATCAAACCTTTAATAAATTATTCTAGTGTGTCATAATGTGTCATGGTGGGGGGCATACAACGGTCATTAATGTGCATTAATGGGCATAAATGGGCATTAATGTGCATTAATGTATATGTATATTTCAGCAAAATTCTATAATACTGACATTAATGACCGTTGTATCCCCCCGTCATGGTACCGTTGTCATGGTACCGTTGGAGTGAAAGGATCACTTCAAGGTATCCAAAGTAAAGTTTATAAACTCGCAGATTGTATACAAATGATCACCTCTACAGTCTACGTCTTTCCAAAGAGTTGTTTAATGATGGCCAGATGGCGTGGATGATTGTATAGCAGGAGAGGATAAACAGGGCATTCACATTAAAATGAAGCTTTTGATATTGGGGTAATAACACGCCCAATTTCTATCATTTTAGTTTTACCAGAACAGTCCTCTGACATGATCGCAGGAGCTTCTATGTAGAGCAATACGTTTTCATGGCATGTTAATCCAGACACGTGATACGTGTCTGGATTCCCTCATCATGAAGCCTAGAACCAGATTCATATGTGGGTGATCACAAAGATAAGGAGTACTCTGCAGTGGTTTCATAGCAGGAGAGGATAAACAGGGAATATGGCCAGGATGCTAAATTGGGGGCTTTATAACAGTATTTGTGAAAATGCCTTCCTATTTGAAGTAATGGCTTGAACAGCTGTTAAGTGGGGATAATTACACAGCAGGAGAGGATAAACAGGGTAGTTATAATAACGGCAAATGTGGGACCTACTGTATTCCTGGCGTCCACCCCCAGTAACAGTGTCGCTCACTAAACTTCATCGTTACATTCCTAGGAGACATTGTTGGTATTACAGGCCAGATTCCACAATGTTGATTGTTGGTAGAGAGCAATCAACACGATGCCCAAAATAGGCTTCATAGCAGGAGATGACAAAAAGAATGTCTGGCCGGGATGCAAACTCGCCCTACGACAGCTTCTGTCGAAATGTCTTCTTGTGGGGATGAACATCACAATGTTGCGAAAGAGCGGGCAGTAAACTTGACTGCAGAAGCTTTTACGAAGAAAAAAAATTGGGCGATTGTAATTTCACAGATCACATAAACAAGAACTACCTGAATGTGTACCTACATCATTGCTGAATGACGGTGCGGATAATTACATAGAAGAAGAGGATAAACAGGACCTATTATTATGGTCGACACTCGACAAGTCTGTGAAAATGTATTCCTTTGTGGGCTAGAGTCAAACTCGCAGATGATAGCGACAAGAGTGAACTATCCACGTTTACCCGTTATAGCATTGCTTAATAGTGGTGGTGTGGGTGATTACACAGCACCAGAGGATAAACATTTTGTCAGATATACAACACCAGCTTTGCTGTCCTCATGGTATGTAAGGAATGGGTAAGGAATTAGTATCTAAATGAGCAGTAGTATTAGTGATCTGCTTGTATTTTAGTGTTATTTCATTCAAATACAGAAATGTGCAGTTTGTCGCATGTTATGAACTTACAATAAAAGAAAGTAATACACTAGCCATTTAAAGAGCCATCCGTGTGTAATATATAATATATAATATATATTAACTTTTATTTCCAGTCAGTAAAAGAGATTGACACACAGCAGAAGAGGATAAACATGACAGTGTAGACCACTATACTTCATCTTCACTTTCCAACGAAGGTATAGTTCACAGCCCCAACTTTCTTCTTGTTCAACTAAGTACTCCAGTCAACAGACAGGAACTGTTATGACGAACAGTGCATTTTCATAACAATATGTTAACACAGCTGTTTACAGGTACCTGCACTCGCACATTCTGTGAAAATGACGATATCTACGTCTACTTTATGGTTTGCTCTACGATGGTGTGGATTATTGTATAGCAGGAGAGGATAAACAAGACATTATATGGATAATGATTGTTAGAATCATTCTGATATGAAGAAAATTGCACAGTTGGTGGCATCTCGTGGTACTAGAGAATGTCCAAGAACTGACAAAAGGTACTTGCACTCACAGCTCAACGATGGTGGGGATGGCTACATAGCAGGAGAGGATAAACAGAACATTATAGTGTGGTTAACATACAACATTGGAGCCACATATACATTCTACGTGCCCTACGAAAGTGTCTGTGAAACGTGTTAAGTGGGGATAATTACACAGCAGGAGAGGATAAACAGGGTAGTTATGGATACCACCAAAAGTGGGACCTACTGTATTCCTGGCGTCTCCACTCTCTAGTAGTGCCAGGCTCCACCACACCATCCTCATATTCCTAGGAGATATTGTTGGGTGCTACAGCCCTAACTTTCATCTTGTTGCCAAGTACAATCAAGTTCTGGTCAACATACATTATTATAGGAACTTTTATGACGAACAGTACATATTCCTGGCAAGTTATACGATGTCATCACTTTATGATGCAGATGGCGGGGATTGTTGCACAGCAGGAGAGGATAAAAACTAAACAGGTCATTGAAATTTCTCAAACAAATGCATGCGCGATTACAAAGATATGCCTACTTGAGAATTGAGATACAAGAAGAGAATCAAGGTCTACAGAAGTACTGATTTCCGAATAAGAACAGACATTTTACAGCTTTTGATAAGGTCTGCAACTTGGTTGATATCTTTGGGGAAAATTCTGATGAGCAAAATTCTACTTTTATTTTCGATTGATCACTAATCTTGATATCTATAATTTGTTTTAATTAGCAACTAGCTTAAAACTGAACATTTTATTCTTGTAACCCCCTCTATAATTTTAGTGTGCAAAATCTCAGAAGAATGTTGTAGAATGTAGGAAGTAACAAGGGTTGATGGGTCAAGTAATGTGGTGGGTTAATTAATATGGTGCAATATGTAATATATCATATTTAATTTCCTGGTAATATTCCGGAATATTCCCAGTGTATGTTCTGGTAGACCTACAATATGTAGGCTAAGCTGTATAATATAATGTACAATATATAGTGTATACGGTTACACCAATGTAAGGAGAAGTCAAATGAAGAACACGGATAGTTTCATCACTGTTGATCAATAATGTTAACTGAGAGTATGTTTAACAAAAACAATAAGAAAAAACCTACATTAATTTATGGGGATTTGAAAACTAATCTAAACGTACAAGTAAGCCTCCAGTTACCTTTCTAGTAGCCTTATAAAACTCGAACCAAGTCCGCCACTGCTGACTGTCCACAGCACTCCAATCCGGGCTATTTCCTTCAATCAGGACGTTCTCCCAAGTCTTCTCAAAGTCCTCAAGTATAGGCGGCCGTCTGCTAGGCGAGGCTGCTACTTGTCTGTTAGTGTCTGTGAAACTGTAGAACTCTGTTTTCTCTAGTTCCGTGTCACTTCCATCCCATACACTGCTATCTTTTGAGGAGTACTTACACCAACGCAACTCTGAAATTATATCAGGTTCAACCTTTACACCAACGCAACTCTGAAATTATATCAGGTTCAACGCAACTCTGAAATTATATCAGGTTCAACCTTTGAAATTTTGAATTTCGTTGATGTGAAATGCTACATTACTTACTAAAATCATTAATGTATTATACCAAGTTTAGAATCTATATTAGTCTATTTATCCATGTAACTCACGAACCTGAGGAAGGTGCACTGCTGATAGAAGGAGGGTGAGCTGGAGGAGATCTCATCTCATCTCGTGACGACACGTGACTTGGTGTTCGGTAGTTGTTCATGTTGTTGTTGTTCATGTTGTTGTTGTTGATTGGGGATTGCTTACGGTTTTGATGGCTCGGAGAGTTCTGAAAAGGGATTTGTGAGGATACGAGTGCTATTTTTGTTATTTCACATTTTAATTTTATTCAAAACCTCCATTCCTTTCCTCAGTTCTCATCCAGATCTTATCATTGAATTTGAGAATTTGCTTTAGTTAAATGACAATTTTTCCTAATCAGTTGCAGTATTGGATTATTGGATTATCCAAAAAAACGTACATTTATAATGAATTATAACAACAACAATTTAACCGAGCTTCGATCCCCATTATCAACAAATATACATTATAATATAACCTGGTGTTATCTTGATTATTGAGTTACAATTTAGCTAGGAAGGCAAACAAGAGCTCATAACTACCATTGCTTTATAATAATAGGCGAAATTCGAGAACATCCTCACTCTCTACCAAAAAATATTCTAAAGAAAGTATTAAGTTTTTCTGATTTCCTCGTTGATTTCTCACAATATCACTAGCCGTTTTGATAGGTAACCTTTTATTTTGCCAAATTTGTTAGATTTCACACTTTGGGTCCATTTTTACTACTATTTCCATTTTAAACAGATACTTTGTAAAGTAAGCCTCATTTATATCAAGCTGAGCTCTCTTGTAGTAATTTAGGAGCAGGATAAGAAAGTCGGATGAGCAAAGTGAGAGAAAGGATTGGCGAGGAGTCTTCAGTAACCTCTTTATAGTGCTTCTTATGGGAAGTAGCAACTTTCGATCTCTTACGGTCTGTTTTACCAGCTTTTGGTGGAGGTGGGTAAAGTTTCCTCGTTTTAATCTGAAAGAGTATGAATTAAATTTAAAGCCCTGGATGGGTTCGAATAATGTTCAGTCGTTAACTGTTATAGCTAAGTACAGAGCAAGTGATCAACAGAAATACCAAGATAATGCTTACCAAAATCTTTCCATAGTCAGAGCCTTTATATCTGAGAGCTTTATAAAACTTGGACCCAGAATCTACCAACTCCCCAAGTGTGCATGCTATTTCACCCAAGAAATCTGCTTTGCTTATGTCATTTTCGTAGTCATCTATGTCCCACACTTTGATGATTAAATTTTGTTCTTCAGAGGGGATGTAGTCGAGAAAGATCTTTTCTTTGAAAGTAGGGTTTAACTCATTGTCAATACATTCTGTGCGACCTAGCTGAAGGTTTTATGTGTTCAATGTCCATAGTGAGGAAGGGGCTTTATCATTATAGTGGATGTATTCTTTTCTAAATTTGCCAGGGATGCAGATTTCGTTAAAAAATAGCAGTTCTGATAAACTAACAATATAGTTACAAATATAGGTAAAAACTACTCTAGCACTACATATTATTTGAAATGTAATGATTTTCAAACATACCTCGTTGTTGAATTCGTCGAATACCGTGACAAGAGGATCAGATTTAGAGAATAAATCAGCATCTCTCAGACCAGTGCAGGATATGGTTAGTTGGACAGTCTGTTTATTGCTGGGGACCTGGCCCTAAGTTACAGGTAAGTTTATTTCTAGGTTCTTACCTCTTTGCAAGTACGCAGTCCATGCAATTTAGTTTTCTTCATGCAGAGTTGAGACATATTTTTAAAACTCTTGAGGTGTAAGGATATGCAGCATTCTCTTTGTACTTTTGTAACACATCCTCAACAACCAATTTCCTCAATAGTTCACTCCCTTGTTCCCTCACTATCTCATCCCATTAATATCTCAACCCTCACCACCACTCCGTCACCCCTCACTCTATCACCCCCACTCCGACACCCCTCACTCCGTCATCCCTCACTCCGTCACCCCTCACTCCTACACTCCGTCACCCCTCATTCCGTCACCCCTCACTCTAACACCCCTCACTCCTACACTCCGTCACCCCTCACTCCTACACTCCGTCACCCCTCATTCCGTCACCCCTCACTCTAACACCCCTCACTCCTAAGTCCTACACTCTAACACCCCTCACTCCGTCACCCCTCACTCCTACACTCCGTCACCCCTCACTCAGTCACTCCACACTCCGTCACCCATCACTCCGTCACCCCCACTCTGTCACCCCCACTCTGTCACTAAGAACCGACCGGAAATCCGGTCCGGTCCGGTCCGGTCCGGTCCGGTATCCGGCCGTTTTTGATCCGGTCCGGTTTTAATGCTGATTTTAGCCAGAACCAGATTTTAAACTCATTCCTATTTTTATCGAGTGAACTTATATTTTTTATAACTTTACTACTATTTTACTATCAAAATATCATCCCTCTTAGCGATCCCCGGCTGACTGTCGCCCTACAGCAGTTTAGACGAGACACTAAGTCTCAGCAGATTAATTTAGATACTCACGCAAAATGTTCACAAACGACAGACAGTCTGAAGCCACTGTGCAGAGGTTGGAGACTCCAAGTCTGAGCTCATTGTCGCAGTATGAGTATTGCTATATTTGTTGCACGTGCGCACACAGGCGCCAGCTCGTCAGGGGGTCTCGGCGTAAGTTCATTTTTGGCTTTTGCTGTTCCTAAGTTTAACGACATGGTATAATATTATATATCTAGATACTATATTCGAAATTATCGTGCAGCAACTGTTTGAAATCCGGTAAAATCCGGCGAGCCTTTAAATAAGAGCCCGAATCCGGTATCCGGTCCGGCTTTTTTATTGAGATCCGGTCCGGTCCGGCAGCAAAAAAGCCGTTCCGGTCGGTTCCTATCTGTCACCCCCACTCCGTCACCCCTTACCCCGTCACTCGACCCCCACTCCATCACCCCCCACTCCATCACCCCTCAACTTGTCACCCCTTACTCCCCACTTCGTCACCCCTGTCCCCTTACTCTCTCACCTCCTCATTATCTTACCCCCTCCGGGCCCTCACCCCTCAATATCCCACTGCCTCGAATCAGCTAAATGAGGGAAATATATTAATAAACTATTGGGGTCCAGTCTTTAGAAGATAACAACGATATAACTGTTACCTTGATGGAGCTTTTCTTATCAGAAGGAGGAACTTTCTTTCTCGTCCGATCTTTCTTACTGGCTTGTGGTGGAGGTGGACTAAGTTTCCTAGTTTCTATCTGAAAATTAAGGTAGCCAACTATAACCTTTAAAGGTGTACAAATAAGGTACAGTCCATGCCTAGTTTAGTCAAGTCAGTAAAGTCGCAACATGTGTCTGAGCACCTACATCATAACTGAAAATAGTGGTAAGTAATGAAGCAAATATAACTGATAAGACACTGATAATGCTTACAAAAATCTCTCCATAGTCAGAGCCTTTATATCTGAGAGCTTTATAAAACTTGGACCCAGAATCTACCAACTCCCCAAGTGTGCATGCTATTTCACCCAAGAAATCTGCTTTGCTTATGTCATTTTCGTAGTCATCTATGTCCCACACTTTGATGATTAAATTTTGTTCTTCAGAGGGGACGTAGTCGAGAAAGATCTTTTCTTTGAAAGTAGGGTTTAACTCATTGTCAATACATTCTGTGCGACCTAGCTGAAGGTTTTATGTGTTCAATGTCCATAGTGAGGGAGGGGCTTTATCATTATAGTGGATGTATTATTTTCTACATTTGCCAGGGAGGAAGATTTCGTTTAAAAATAGCAGTTCTGATAAACTAACTTGATAGTTACAAATATGAGTAAAAACTAGCACTGCATATTATTTGAAATGTAATGATTTTCAAACATACCTCGTTGTTGAATTCGTCGAATACCGTGACAAGAGGATCAGATTTAGAGAATAAATCAGCATCTCTCAGACCAGTGCAGGATATGGTTAGTTGGACAGTCTGTTTATTGCTGGGGACCTGGCCCTAAGTTACAGGTAAGTTTATTTCTAGATTCTTACCTCCTTGCAAGTACGCAGTCCATGCAATTTAATTTTCTTCATGCAGAGTTGAGACATAGTTTTTAAACTCTTGAGGTGTAAGGATATGCAGCATTCTCTTTGTACGTTTGTAACACATCCTCGACAACCAATTTCCTCAATAGTTCACTCCCTTGTTCCCTCACTATCTCATCCCATTAATATCTCAACCCTCACCACCACTCCGTCACCCCTCACTCTATCACCCCCACTCCGACACCCCCCACTCCGACACCCCCACTCCGACACCCCTCACTCCGACACCCCTCATTCCGTCACCCCTCACTCCGTCATCCCTCACTCCGTCACTCCTCACTCTAACACTCCTCACTCTGACACTCCTCACTCCGTCACCACTCACTCAGTCACTCCTCACTCTGTCACCCCCACTCTGTCACTAAGAACCGACCGGAAATCCGGTCCGGTCCGGTCCGGTCCGGTATCCGGCCGTTTTTGATCCGGTCCGGTTTTAATGCTGATTTTAGCCAGAACCGGATTTTAAACTCATTCCTATTTTTATCGATCCCCGGCTGACTGTCGCCCTACAGCAGTTTAGACGAGACAGTAAGTTTCAGCAGATTAATTTAGATACTCGCGCAAAATGTTCACAAACGTCAGATAGTTTGAAGCCGCTGTGCAGAGGTTGGAGACTCCAAGTCTGAGCTCATTGTCGCAGTATGAGTATTGCTATATTTGTTGCACGTGCGCGGCGCATAGGCACCAGCTCGTCAGGGGGTCTCGGCGTAAGTTCATTTCTGGCTTTTGCTGTTCCTAAGTTTACCGACATGGTAAAGTATAATATATATATCTAGATACTATATTCGAAATTATCGTGCAGCAACTGTTTGAAATCCGGTAAAATCCGGCGAGCCTTTAAACCTTTAAATAAGAGCCTGAGTCCGGCTTTTTTATTGAGATCCGGTCCGGTCCGGCAGCAAAAAAGCCGTTCCGGTCGGTTCCTATCTGTCACCCCCACTCCGTCACCCCTTACCCCGTCACTCGACCCCCACTCGATCACCCCCCACCCCATCACCCCTCAACTTGTCACCCCTTACTCCCCACTTCGTCACCCCTGTCCCCTTACTCTCTCACTTCCTCATTATCTTACCCCCTCCGGGCCCTCACCCCTCACTATCTCACTGCCTCGAATCAGCTAAATGAGGGAAAACTATTGGGGTCCAGTCTTTAGAAGATAACAACGAAATAACTGTTACCTTGATGGAGCTTTTCTTATCAGAAGGAGGAACTTTCTTTCTCGTCCGATCTTTCTTACTGGCTTGTGGTGGAGGTGGACTAAGGTTCCTAGTTTCTATCTGAAAATTAAGGTAGCAAACTATAACCTTTAAAGGTGTACAAATAAGGTACAGTCGATGCCTAGTTTTGTCAAGTCAATAAATTCGCAATAAGTTTCTGAGCACCTACATCATAACTGAAAATAGTGGTAACTAACGAAGCATATAATATATAACTGATAAGACACTGATAATGCTTACAAAAATCTTTCCATAGTCAGAGCCTTTATATCTGAGAGCTTTATAAAACTTGGACCCAGAATCTACCAACTCCCCAAGTGTGCATGCTATTTCACCCAAGAAATCTGCTTTGCTTATGTCATTTTCGTAGTCATCTATGTCCCACACTTTGATGATTAAATTTTGTTCTTCAGAGGGGACGTAGTCGAGAAAGATCTTTTCTTTGAAAGTAGGGTTTAACTCATTGTCAATACATTCTGTGCGACCTAGCTGAAGGTTTCATGTGTTCAATGTCCATAGTGAGGGAAGGGCTTTATCATTATAGTGAATGTATTCTTTTCTACATTTGCCAGGGAGGAAGATTTTGTTTAAAAATAGCAGTTCTGATAAACTAACAATATAGTTACAAATATAGGTAAAAACTAGCACTACATATTACGTATTTGAAATATAATTTTGTTCAAACATACCTCGTTGTTGAATTCGTCGAATACCGTGACAAGAGGATCAGATTTAGAGAATAAATCAGCATCTCTCAGACCAGTACAGGATATGGTTAGTTGGACAGTCTGTTTATTGCTGGGGACCTGGCCCTAAGTTACAGGTAAGTTTATTTCTAGATTCTTACCTCCTTGCAAGTACGCAGTCCATGCAATTTAGTTTTCTTCATGCAGAGTTGAGACATAGTTTTTAAACTCTTGAGGTGTAACGATTTGCAGCATTTTCTTTGTAATTTTGTAACACATCCTCAACAACCAACTTCCCCCCACTCCGCTACCCTCACTCGATCACCCCCACTCCGTCACCCCTCACTCCGACACCCCCCACTCCGTCACCCCTCACTCCGTCACCCCTCACTCCGACACCCCTCACTCCATCACCCCTCACTCCATCACCCCTCACTCCGTCACCCCTCACTCCGTCACCCCTTACTCTCTCGCTCCTCACTCCGACACCCCTCACTCCATCACTCCTCACTCCGACAACCCTTACTCCATCACCCGTCACCCCCACTCCGTCACCCCTCACTCCGTCACCCCTCACTCCTCACTCCGACACCCCTCACTCCATCACCCCTCACTCCGTCACCCCTCACTCCGTCACCCCTTACTCTCTCACTCCTCACTCCGACACCCCTAACATCCCATCACTCCTCACTCCGACACCCCTCACTCCGACACCCCCACTCCGTCACCCCTCACTCCATCTCCCCTCACTCCATCACCCCTCACTCCTCACTCCGACACCCCTCATTCCATCACCCCCACTTCGTCACCCCTCACTCCATCACCCCTCACTCCGTCACCCCTCACTCCGACACCCCCCACTCCGTCACCCCTCACTCCATCTCCCCTCACTCCATCACCCCTCACTCCGTCACTCCTCACTCCGACACCCCTCACTCCATCACCCCCACTTCGTCACCCCACACTCCGTCACCCCCACTTCGACACCCCTCACTCCGTCACCCCCACTCTGACACTCCTCACTCCGTCACCCCTCACTCCGTCACTCCACACTCCGACACCCCTCAACTTGTCACCCCTTACTCCCCACTTCGTCACCCCTAGCCTTACTCTCTCATCTCCTCATTATCTTACCCCCTCCGGGCCCTCACCCCTCAATATCCCACTGCCTCGAATCAGCTAAATGAGGGAAATGTATTAATAAACTATTGCCGTCCAGTCTTTAGAAGATAACAACGAAATAACTGTAACCTTGATGGAGCTTTTCTTATCAGATGGAGGAACTTTCTTTCTCGTCCGATCTTTCTTACTGGCTTGTGTTGGAGGTGGACTAAGTTTCCTAGTTTCTATCTGAAAATTAAAGGTAGCAAACTATAACCTTTAAAGGTTGTACAAATAAGGTACAGTCGATGCCTAGTTTTGTCAAGTCAATAAATTCGCACATGTGTCTGAGCACCTGCATCATATAAACTGAAAATAGTGGTAACTAACGAAGCAAACATAACTGATAAGACAGTGATAATGCTTACAAAAATCTTTCCATAGTCAGAGCCTTTATATCTGAGTGCTTTATAAAACTTGGACCCAGAATCTACCAACTCCCCAAGTGTGCATGCTATTTCACCAAGAAATCTGCTTTGCTTATGTCATTTTCGTAGTCATCTATGTCTTCCCAACTTGAGATCCCTATTCTCAAGGCTAATCCAAACCTCATTTTCTTTGAAAGAGTTAACCCCCATGTCAACATCTTCGACCATCTAATCTAGTTTCACACTCCTCTCAGCGGGGCTTTTCTTATATTCATCCCCATTTCTTCTACCCTCAGAGACATTTCTAAATACTCTGTAACCACAATCCATTACATTAGACAACTCATCATCCGTTTAAAATATTACATCATCCTCGTTGAATCTCGAACCTGCAGGATCGATAAAAAATCACACTCTCACCCCAACCAGGTAGAGGCCATTGTATCTGGCCTCGGCCCTAACTTCGAATTTCTAGTTCTACCCCTCATCGCATCTCACATTTGTTTCTCTCAAGTTGGCAGCTTAAACTCTTATTCGATTGCACTTCCTTGTACTTTTGTCATCTCCTCATAATCTTCCCCCCCTCCGCTACCTCACCGACCCTCCCACTCCGCCTCACACCGAATCGCACTGTTACCTTGCCCCCACTCCGACACTCCTCACTCCGACACCCCTCACTCCGTCACCCCCTCCACTCCGTCACCCCCCTCACTCCGTCACCCCTCACTCCGTCACCCCTCACTCCGTCACCCCTCACTCCGTCACCCCTCACTCCGTCACTCCTCACTCCGACCCACCCCTCACTCCGTCACCCCTCACTCCGTCACCCCTTACTCTCTCACTCCTCACTCCGACACCCCTAACTCCCATCACTCCTCACTCCGACACCCCTCACTCCGACACCCCCACTCCGTCACCCCCTCACTCCATCTCCCCTCACTACATCACCCCTCACTCCTCACTCCGACACCCCCTCATTCCATCACCCCCACTTCGTCACCCCTCACTCCATCACCCCCTCACTCCGTCACCCCTCACTCCGACACCCCCCCACTCCGTCCCCCCCTCACTCCATCTCCCCTCACTCCATCACCCCTCACTACCGTCACTCCTCACTCCGACACCCCTCACTCCATCACCCCCACTTCGTCACCCCCACCTCTCCGTCACCCCCACTTCGACACCCCCCTCACTCCGTCACCCCCACTCTGACACTCCTCACTCCGTCACCCCTCACTCCGTCACTCCACACTCGACACCCCTCAACTGTCACCCCCTTACTCCCCACTTTCGTCACCCCTAGCCCTTACTCTCTCATCTCCTCATTATCTTACCCCCTCCGGGCCCTCTCCCCTCAATATATCACTGCCTCGAATCAGCCCTAAATGAGGGAAAGTATTAATAAACTATTGCCCGTCAGTCTTTAGAAGATAACAACGAAATAACTGTAACCTTGATGGAGCTTTTCTATCAGATGGAGGAACCTTTCTTTCTCGTCCGATCTTTCTTACTGGCTTGTGTTGGAGGTGGACTAAGTTTCCTAGTTTCTATCTGAAAATTAAGGTAGCAAACTATAACCTTTAAAGGTGTACAAATAAGGTACAGTCGATGCCTAGTTTTGTCAAGTCAATAAATTCGCAACATGTGTCTGAGCACCTGCATCATATAAACTGAAAATAGTGGTAACTAACGAAGCAAACATAACTGATAAGACAGTGATAATGCTTACAAAAATCTTTCCATAGTCAGAGCCTTTATATCTGAGTGATTTATAAAACTTGGACCCAGAATCTACCAACTCCCCAAGTGTGCATGCTATTTCACCCAAGAAATCTGCTTTGCTTATGTCATTTTCGTAGTCATCTATGTCCCAAACTTTGATGATTAAATTTTGTTCTTCAGAGGGGACGTAGTCGAGAAAGATCTTTTCTTTGAAAGTAGGGTTTAACTCATTGTCAATACATTCTGTGCGACCTAGCTGAAGGTTTTATGTGTTCAATGTCCATAGCAAAGGGGGGGCTTTATCATTATAGTTGATTATTCTTTTCTACATTTGCCAGGGAGGAAGATTTCGTTTAAAAATAGCAGTTCTGATAAACTAACAATTTAGTTACAAATATAGGTAAAAACTAGCACTACATATTACGTATTTAAAATATAATGATTTTCAAACATACCTCGTTGTTGAATTCGTCGAATACCGTGACAAGAGGATCAGATTTAGAGAATAAATCAGCATCTCTCAGACCAGTACAGGATATGGTTAGTTGGACAGTCTGTTTATTGCTGGGGACCTGGCCCTAAGTTACAGGTAAGTTTATTTCTAGATTCTTACCTCCTTGCAAGTACGCAGTCCATGCAATTTAGTTTTCTTCATGCAGAGTTGAGACATAGTTTTAAAACTCTTGAGGTGTAACGATATGCAGCATTCTCTTTGTACTTTTGTAACACATCCTCAACAACCAACTTCCCCCCACTCCGCTACCCTCACTCCATCACTCCCACTCCGTCACCCCTCACTCCGTCCCCCCTCACTCTGTCCCCCACTCCGACACTCCTCACTCCGACACCCCTCACTCCGTCACCCCTCACTCCGTCACCCCTCACTCCGTCACCCCTCACTCCGTCACCCCTCACTCCGTCACCCCTCACTCCGTCACCCCTCACTCCGTCACTCCTCACTCCGACACCCCTCACTCCGTCACCCCTCACTCCGTCACCCCTCACTCCGTCACCCCTTACTCTCTCACTCCTTATTATCTTACCCCGTCCAGTCTTTAGAAGATAACAACGAAATAACTGTAACCTTGATGGAGCTTTTCTTATCAGAGACAGAAGGAGGAACTTTCTTTCTCGTCCGATCTTTCTTACTGGCTTGTGGTGGAGGTGGACTAAGTTTCCTAGTTTCTATCTGAAAATTAAGGTAGCCAACTATAACCTTTAAAGGTGTACAAATAAGGTACAGTCCATGCCTAGTTTTGTCAAACTGTCAATAAATTCGCAACATGTGTCTGAGCACCTACATCATAACTGAAAATAGTGGTAACTAACGAATAAAACATAACTGATAAGACAGTGATAATGCTTACAAAAATCTTTCCATAGTCAGAGCCTTTATATCTGAGAGCTTTATAAAACTTGGACCCAGAATCTACCAACTCCCCAAGCGTGCATGCTGTTTCACCCAAGAAATCTGCTTTGCTTATGTCATTTTCGTAGTCATCTATGTCCCAAACTTTGATGATTAAATTTTGTTCTTCAGAGGGGACGTAGTCGAGAAAGATCTTTTCATTGAAAGTAGGGTTTAACTCATTGTCAATACATTCTGTGCGACCTAGCTGAAGGTTTCATGTGTTCAATGTCCATAGTGAGGGAGGGGCTTTATCATTATAGTGAATGTATTCTTTTGTACATTTGCCAGGGATGCAGATTTCGTTAAAAAATAGCAGTTCTGATAAACTAACAATATAGTTACAAATATAGGTAAAAACTAGCACTACATATTATTTGAAATGTAATGATTTTCAAACATACCTCGTTGTTGAATTCGTCGAATACCGTGACAAGAGGATCAGATTTAGAGAATAAATCAGCATCTCTCAGACCAGTACAGGATATGGTTAGTTGGACAGTCTGTTTATTGCTGGGGACCTGGCCCTAAGTTACAGGTAAGTTTATTTCTAGGTTCTTACCTCCTTGCAAGTACGCAGTCCATGCAATTTAGTTTTCGTCATGCAGAGTTGAGACATAGTTTTAAAACTCTTGAGGTGTAAGGATATGCAGCATTCTCTTTGTACTTATGTAACACATCCTAAACAACCAATTTCCTCAATAGTTCACTCCCTTGTTCCCTCACTATCTCATCCCATTAATATCTCAACCCTCACCCCCACTCCGTCACCCCTCACTGAATCACCCCTCACTCCGTCATCCCTCACTCCGTCACCCCTTACCCCGTCACTCGACCCCCACTCCATCACCCCTCACTCAATCACCCCCACTCCGACACCCCTCACTCCATCACCCCTCACTCCGTCATCCCTCACTCCGTCACCCCCACTCCGTCACCCCTTACCCCGTCACTCGACCCCCACTCCATCACCCCTCACTCCATCACCCCTCACTCCATCACCCCTCACTCCGTCACCCCTCACCCCTCAACATGTCACCCCTTACTCCCCACTTCGTCACCCCTGTCCCCTTACTTTCTCACCTCCTCATTATCTTACCCCCTCCGGGCCCTCACCCCTCAATATCCCACTGCCTCGAATCAGCTAAATGAGGGAAATTATGTATTAATAAACTATTGGGGTCCAGTCTTTAGAAGATAACAACGAAATAACTGTTACCTTGATGGAGCTTTTCTTATCAGAAGGAGGAACTTTCTTTCTCGTCCGATCTTTCTTACTGGCTTGTGGTGGAGGTGGACTAAGTTTCCTAGTTTCTATCTGAAAATTAAGGTAGCCAACTATAACCTTTAAAGGTGTACAAATAAGGTACAGTCGATGCTTAGTTTTGTCAAGTCAATAAATTCGCAACATGTGTCTGAGCACCTACATCATAACTGAAAATAGTGGTAACTAACGAAGCAAACATAACTGATAAGACAGTGATAATGCTTACAAAAATCTTTCCATAGTCAGAGCCTTTATATCTGAGAGCTTTATAAAACTTGGACCCAGAATTTACCAACTCCCCAAGCGTGCATGCTATTTCACCCAAGAAATCTGCTTTGCTTATGTCATTTTCGTAGTCATCTATGTCCCAAACTTTGATGATTAAATTTTGTTCTTCAGAGGGGACGTAGTCGAGAAAGATCTTTTCATTGAAAGTAGGGTTTAACTCATTGTCAATACATTCTGTGCGACCTAGCTGAAGGTTTCATGTGTTCAATGTCCATAGTGAGGGAGGGGCTTTATCATTATAGTGAATGTATTCTTTTGTACATTTGCCAGGGATGCAGATTTCGTTAAAAAATAGCAGTTCTGATAAACTAACAATATAGTTACAAATATAGGTAAAAACTAGCACTACATATTATTTGAAATGTAATGATTTTCAAACATACCTCGTTGTTGAATTCGTCGAATACCGTGACAAGAGGATCAGATTTAGAGAATAAATCAGCATCTCTCAGACCAGTGCAGGATATGGTTAGTTGGACAGTCTGTTTATTGCTGGGGACCTGGCCCTAAATTACAGGTTAGTTTATTTATAGATTCTTACCTCCTTGCAAGTACGCAGTCCATGCAATTTAGTTTTCTTCATGCAGAGTTGAGACATAGTTTTAAAACTCTCGAGGTGTAACGATATAATGCATCATTCTCTTTGTACTTTTGTAACACATCCTCAACAACCAACTTCCCCAATAGTTCACTCCCTTAGTCCCTTGTTCTCTCACTATCTCATCCCATTAATATCTCAACCCTCACCCCCACTCCGTCACCCCTGCCTCTATCACCCCCACTCCGACAGTCGACACCCCTCACTCCATCACCCCCACTCCGTCAACCCTCACTCTGACACCCCTCACTCCGTCACCCCTCACTCAATCACCCCTCACTCCGTCACTCCTCACTCTGACACCCCTCACTCCCACTCCGTCACCCCTTACTCCATCACCCCCCACTCCATCACCCCTCAACTTGTCACCCCTTACTCCCCACTTCGTCACCCCTGTCCCCTTACTTTCTCACCTCCTCATTATCTTACCCCCTCCGGACCCTCACCCCTCAATATCTCACTGCCTCGAATCAGCTAAATGAGGGAAATTATGTATTAATAAACTATTGGGGTCCAGTCTTTAGAAGATAACAACGAAATAACTGTTACCTTGATGGAGCTTTTCTTATCAGAAGGAGGAACTTTCTTTCTCGTCCGATCTTTCTTACTGGCTTGTGGTGGAGGTGGACTAAGTTTCCTAGTTTCTATCTGAAAATTAAGGTAGCCAACTATAACCTTTAAAGATGTACAAATAAGGTACAGTCGATGCCTAGTTTTGTCAAGTCAGTAAAGTCGCAATAAGTTTCTGAGCACCTACATCATAACTGAAAATAGTGGTAAGTAATGAAGCAAACATAACTGATAAGACACTGATAATACTTACAAAAATCTTTCCATAGTCAGAGCCTTTATATCTGAGAGCTTTATAAAACTTGGACCCAGAATCTACCAACTCCCCAAGTGTGCATGCTATTTCACCCAAGAAATCTGCTTTGCTTATGTCATTTTCGTAGTCATCTATGTCCCAAACTTTGATGATTAAATTTTGTTCTTCAGAGGGGACGTAGTCGAGAAAGATCTTTTCTTTGAAAGTAGGGTTTAACTCATTGTCAATACATTCTGTGCGACCTAGCTGAAGGTTTCATGTGTTCAATGTCTATAGTGAGGGAAGGGCTTTATCATTATAATGGATGTATTTTTTTCTACATTTGCCAGGGAGGAAGATTTCGTTTAAAAATAACAGTTCTGATAAACTAACAATATAGTTAAAAATATAGGTAAAAACTAGCACTACATATTATTTGAAATGTAATGATTTTCAAACATACCTCGTTGTTGAATTCGTCGAATACCGTGACAAGAGGATCAGATTTAGAGAATAAATCAGCATCTCTCAGACCAGTGCAGGATATGGTTAGTTGGACAGTCTGTTTATTGCTGGGGACCTGGCCCTAAATTACAGGTTAGTTTATTTATAGATTCTTACCTCCTTGCAAGTACGCAGTCCATGCAATTTAGTTTTCTTCATGCAGAGTTGAGACATAGTTTTAAAACTCTTGAGGTGTAACGATATGCAGCATTCTCTTTGCATAACAAAGCACATCCTCATTCCTCAAATCCTTCCCTCTAACTCCCTCACTTCTTCAATCCCTCATTCTTTCCCTCTAATTCCATCTCTCTTTCAATTTCTCACTCCCTCCCTCTAACTCCCTCACTCCTTCAATCCCTCATTCTTTCCCTCTAATTCCATCTCTCTTTTAATCTCTCACTCCCTCCCTCTAATTCCCTCACTCCTTCAATCCCTCGCTTGTTCATTCCCTCTTTCATCACCCTAGGACCCCAATGGTGCATAGCTAAACAATAAACAAAATAAGCCTTGTTTACCAGATCGTAGAGTGCACTATTAGTAGCAAAATATGTGTATACCTCCTTCTTTACATGATCAGTATTATACAGCTATACAGGCATTACAACTGCCTTTTCGGTATCAGTCCATCACTCGTGAAGCAAAATCCTCAGCTACATTCAATATTTCATGCTATAATTACAGTTTTCTGCATGCAGAATATTTAAAAGTTGTTTTTGAAGTTAGAATTTGTGGATTTACTCTACATCGAAAGTACCAGGAAACGCATGAACCCAAAGTGTGAAATCGCATTACTGAGGGTAATTATAATGATCATTTTGTGTACTTAAATGATGGTAGACCATACGCTTGACGCTATATGTTCCAAAAATTTCCGACAATTTCATGAGGTTTGATGATGTTCATGCCATTTAGCAAATCCTGGAGACATGGCGATGGTTAGTCTCATGTCATTACATGCTTCGTGAGCAAAAAAACAGAGTAAATTAGCAAGTAAGTTAGCAAAGATCCCATCATGCCAAGCCAACTTCAGCTGAAAAGTGTAATGAAGGTGCAGGGAATCTTTAGGAGTTCTCGAAATTCCGAGAACCCCCATGCTAACCCACACCGCACCCCTACTCATTGAAAACAATAAGTACTTAAAAGAATGAATATTGAGTAGTGAGTAATTATTTTTGATCACGGTACGGTACATACATTTCTCCAAATGGGCGAGGTAGCAGTGCTGACAGTAGCCTTATGATTCGCTGGAGTCATGGCAGTTCCAGTGTTCATGAGTCCTGCTCCTGATAAACTGGGGTAGACAGGTTTGTAGCCTGTCTTCAGCTCTTCGTAGGTATCTTCTTCTTGTATCACTATGTTATGGTGGCAGTAAGTCTACAACAAGAAAGATATCAGGTAGAGTTAAAGAAAACAAAGCGAAAATAAAGTGAAATAAAGTGAAATAAAGCGAAAATAAAGTGAAAAAAGATGAAAATAAGGTCACTAACGGTATTCCCCAGTCAGATGACTGAAAGTATCAGATTCACGTTGCTGCTTCAGAGTGTTCGGTTCTGTTGAGTGAGGGGTGATGCAGGAAATTTCGTCGAGGGGAGTTAGGGACATGTCGTATAAACTCTGGGAATTTTGGGGCAAGTGAGCTTTGTGGGGCAAGTGGGGATTGTGGGACAATCGAGGAGCGTCGATTTGAAGTTTAACCACCACTTTGGTAACCTTATTGCGCCGAGAAAACATCTGCTCTACTACGAGAACTATAAGGTTTGCAACTGACAATGAGAAAATGCAAGAAGATTTAAAGGGAAGTGGAAATTATGACAATGAACTCACGCTCTTCGTGGGAATGAAGTGGAATGGTTTAGAGTTAGACCCGTTAGCTGATTTGAATTGCTCGTCTGAGTCGTTTATGCCGGGGTCTGAGAGATAGCCTCCACTTCCTGTAATATTTTCTGAAACAATAACATCAATACAAAGAAAAGCGGTATTACCAATTACTACCAATCTACTCATGTAAAAAATAGAGTTAGTAAGCTATTATATGAGGAAATGTGACCCCCCCCCCCCTTGTTACTACTTAGATTCCTCAGTCTCACAACTGATTTCTGAACTGTACCTGCAGCTTGACGGATGGGGTGCTCAACGGGAGTAAACTTGGACTCCTGTTCGTCAGTTGGAGTGTACCTCTCTGCACTGGGTATAAAACCTTGCGTCATCATCGTATCTGAAGGACCCATCGCTAAAGATTCCTCTATTTCTTCATCCCTAGTTTCATCCTCTTCCGACTTAACGGATTTAAACGTATCGTCCACTTCTGCCATCTCACTTTTTACTTCTGTCACCTCACTTTTTATCCAGGTATCATTTTTGATCTAAAAATAGATCTAATTGTGGATGGTTTTTATGACTCATAACGTACCTAGGAAACTTAATTTATAGTAGTGGCACTTTAAAAGAGGGGTTTATAAAATTTCGACTCATAATATTATTATGGTGACTGCAATTTAGCAGTATTGGTAAGTTGAACAGCTTTATCTTGCTATCTTATCCAATAGAAACTGCAACATCGGTCATTTGATACTATCAATTTACAAAACATACGGATCAGAGCAAAAGGTTGGACACAAAAGAAATCAAAACGATGAAAATGACAATGATGATGATGTAAAAAACCGTCCAGATTTCGAAGTTTAACTTCAAGTTCTGTACCATGATAAACCAAATATTCTTGAAATGAGTGTGTTCGTACAGAGAGCATCATTTTTTAGCTCTAATAGATGTGATAACACAGTTGATTGATCCAGGAATGGCCACCAATAAGAGACAATCTGATTGAGTGAATGTTGAAGGATTGGTGTGGAGTCTTTACAGAAGGAAAGTAGTAGTAATTAAAAAAATTGTAACCTCTTTGGAATTTTTCTTTTGAGAAGCAGTTATTTCTTCCCCTTTCTCCCCTTTCTTCCCTTTCTTCCCCTTCTTGCCTTTCTTAGCAGCTTTTTGAGGAGGTGGATTAAGCTTTTCAGTTTTTATCTGAAAAGTCAAGGAATTAACAACTTGAAGCACATAAGATACACAAATCAGTTAAACAAAAATTCAGTTAAACAAAAATTCAATTTTATGCCATTTATTACAGAGTAAACAAGTTTACAATAAATCAATTTGATATTTAAAGGAATCCTAATTCAATGTGTAGTATGGTTGTCACTCTTTAAATAGATTAGATATAGGTTGACGGGGCAAAGGAGTGTGCGTGCTGTTCGCTATTGCTCACACCAAACGGCAACCTAGTAAATGTTTTGTATGGACACCGGTCTCCATCACGATACAAAATTAGGATTGTAGAATTTATTGTATAACTTTTAGTGCAGTGGAGGAAGCGGTGTGGTGCATTAATAGAGTGACAGCCTACTGATTTAGAGTTGTTTTTAAGTGAGCATAATGGGTATATTTTTGGACCTAAAGGCTTTACTATGGCAACTTTAAAATTGGTTCTTTTAATCATTTATTAAATATCACTTTAAAAATATATAAATCTGGAATCTGTTCACACTGTGAACCAGTCCTATAAAAAAAACCTCTTAAATCAAATATTTAAAACGTCTCAATAATGGAAATAGTCATACAATTAAGAAATTTACCAAATTCTTAATATCTACCTTAAGAGAAAAATACCTACCTAAGTCAATGTCTACCTGTAATACACTAAATATTAGGTTAAATACATAGGTGGTGGAGTCAGCACACATTTACCAAAATCAAAAATTTTTTAATAGGAGGAACCTGTGGGCCGAGAACACTGGATTAAATTTGTTGAAGGGGATTGTTTTCAAATGACAGCTGCATTATGTCATAATCGCTTGAAGTCCATGCTGAATCATTATAAGCCTTTTTCAGGCGACTTTTAGCAAGGCTAATCTTGTAGGAGTAGTCAAAAAGCTTAAGTTTAGGTGCAATTGTGCTCCAAATTTTTGTGGATCTTGATATGAAGTCATTAGATGGGAGTTGTGAAATGAGAGTGGTTTCCTTTCTAGAAGATGGCTGATAATGCTGTTGCAGTGATGCTGGGCACCTTAATTTCAGTATTTTAAAAACTTCCATAAAAGTGTGATATGTATATAAATTTTTGAAAGCCAGGATGTTTTGTTGCTTGAAAAGTGGTTTACAGTGCTCTAGTTGGAAGAATGTATGGTCAAGTGCCTGGTTGTCAAACTCTCTTGTTCTTGCACATGTTAGGAACTTGTTTAGGTATGCCTCTTTATCACCAAAGAGGACCCGTATGCAGTGCTTCTGAGACAGCCAGATACTTGCTGTCCTAAAGAGTGCTGCATCACCCCAAACTGAGATACAATATGTAAGGTGGGATTCAAATAGTGTGTGGTAGAGGTCTTTATGGAGTTCCTTCGGTACAGAGTCCCTAATTCTATTTAAGGTGGCAGAGGCATAGTTTAACTTTCGTTTAAGTGCTGTTATATGAGGCCCCCAGGAAAGCTGTTCGTCAATAACAACTCCAAGAAACTTTGTTGCTTTGGTTTTTTTAATTGGAAAGCCATCAATATGGAGTTGAAGCGAATCTGGAAATTCTACTGGTTTACTAGCCTTTGGTTTAAAATGCATATAACAGCACTTTGACATGTTGATGTGTAGTTTGTTAAGGATCATATACTTTTTTATACAGCTAAGCAATTTGTTGCCTTTCTCATAAGCTTCTTCTACAGTTTTGCCATTAATAAAAATGTTGGTGTCGTCGGCAAATAGTATGAAAGTTCCTAATTCTGAGGAATTGGCAATATCATTTACATGTATAGAAGAAAAAGGAGCGGTCCCAAAACAGAGCCTTGTGGAACACCATATTTAATGATAAGGTTTTCGGATTTTTCATTAAGGACTTCTGTGTACTGTGTTCTATTTGATAAGTAGCTTTTAATGAGACAGTTTGCATTGCCTCTTATTCCATACCTATCTAGTTTTGTTAGGAGTGTACTATGGTCGATTGTATCAAATGCTTTACTCAAATCTATAAATATTCCTAGAACATGGTTTCGTTTTTTTATGCTCTCTTCAATAATTCTAACAGAGTAGTTAACAGCATTGCTAGTAGAATGGGACTTGCGGAAGCCAAATTGGTTTTCATCAAGGATATTTTGTGACACAGCGAAACTATATATACGGCTGTATATCACTTTTTCAAATATCTTACCAAATATGGGCAGAGTAGAGACAGGTCTGTAGTTTCCTACATCCTCTTCGTTTCCTTTCTTAAATATAGGAGTAACTTTCCACAAATGCGGTTAACAGTAGTCCTTAACAGTAGTCCTTGTGTGTAAATACTAGGTACAAGGAGAACAGTTATCGGCAGAACCACCCGAGAAGTCTGGGCTCTGGCAAAGCGCCATTTAAAAAAAATCTATTCGGTAAAATCTATTCTAAGTCAAAAACTTACACAATATTAGATATTGTTGAAACTATTAAAAATTATTAAAATATAGCTATTGAACAAGCATAGCTGAGCACAGTTATAATTGCCTTTAGGATTGTAAAGTTAAAATTATCATATTAATGCACTTTCTGAGTTGTAAGAGTGGAAACAGGCGCATAGCTAGGCTCAAGCTAGCTAGCTATTTCAAAATTTTGTATTTACGACTGTTATCAGTCGCATAGCATCATGCCGTTGTTGCAGGTGAATTGTTGACAGTGTAACTGAGATGGTATGCTATCGTGGGCTATCATGGCTTAAAAATCTCTTCTTTTTTTCAAATGATTGAATCACTTTCTTGTATGTGCACTGTTCAGCGCTAAACAGGACAAAAAATGGCTCATTAGAATTTGCATAGTTCAAGTTGGAACATGTTATATTGAACGCTGTGATTTGGAAAATTGAACAGCCTCATTTCTTGTTTCAACAAAAATAAACTGAAAATGCTTACGAAGATCTTTCCGTAGTCAGTGCCTTCGTATCTGAGAGCTTTGGAAAACTTTGCTCCGGAATCTACTAGCTCTTCAAGTGTGCATGCGATTTCACCCAAAAAATCTGCTTTGGTAATGTCATTTTCGTAGTCATCAATGTCCCAAACTTTGATGATTAACTTTTGTTCTTCATAAGGGTCGTAATCAAGAGTAATCTTTTCTTTAAAAACAGGATTCAACTCATTGTCAATACATTCTGTGCGTCCCAACTGAGAGTGTTATCTTTTCAAAAGTCATGATAAGCAGGATTAATTTTAGGATGAAAATGCTTACTAATGTAACGTTTATTTGGGTTATTTTCCTAAATTTATTGTTTAAATGCCTTAAATTTTAAAGACATTTTATTTCCACATATAATAGCGCTAGCATTTGATAATATTCCTAATATTTGTCCATAATGTCTGAACTGATAAAAAAGTGCATAATCTTGATATTTCCACACTAAGTCTTGCTTGAATGACTTAAATGTACATCTTTGTTGGTAATATTTTAATGTCGAAGCGTGTAATTAATGTTAAATATTTAATTATTTAAATTGGCACAGGATGAAAATTAATCATTAATTACCAAATTGATATTTGATTACGAAATAGCAGCAAAAATTAGATTTGACTTGAAATCATGTTGAACTTACCTCATTGTTGAATTCATCAAATATAGTGACAAGAGGGTCAGACTTAGAAAAGAAATCAGCATCTCTCAAACCAGTGCAGGAGAGGGTAAGCTGGACTTTCTGTTTCATCTCACCATTATATCTATCATTTCAGTGAGTAGTCAGTCCATTGCTATGAAGTCATGAATTATTATTATTTTAACAGGGGGGGGGGGATCATGAGTATTTTTGAGTATTTTTGAGTATTTTTGCCGGGAATACTCAAAAATGTATCAAAAATTATTTTTGAATCTGAGAAATTCAGCATGGATTAAGATCTGGGGGATACGCTATCTCGGCATTTAATCAGTGATTTCGCCGGCCGATCAGTGATCCCATCAGGAACTATTTGCTAGCATGCAACTAGCAGGTTGGTTGTGGGGTTTAAATTAACTTACAATTTTTCTGAGAATTCTTTGATCTATTTCAAACGCAAGGATATGTTTTGGATGCATAATATACTGCTGAAACATTCATACAGTACAGTGATTCAGCTTCTCAGTAAAAATAGTTCAAGACTTCAAAACTTTCTGTTCACATTAGTTCAAAGTCTGGTACGCTGCATACAAAGTCAAAAAAGCTTCAAATTTGAATTGATAATTTGTTAATGAGTCTTAAGATGTGAAGCTAATTAAAGCCAGACCACACGTCTTTTGCCAATTGAAGTACTTCATGGCTCGACTCATGGCTCCAGTTCATAACGACAAGATAATGAAGAAAATTGAAAATACAGTTCTAAAGGACCGCTCCATATTTACACTAGTTCTCCAGACAAAATGATTGTATGAGCATATCCTGGGAATTAAAAGTTAGCAGGTCATTATAGTCCAGGATAATGACCTGTAGCTACAATATTTTCTGTACTGTCTAAGTTAGACTGTACAGAAAAGTAAGGTCAGAGGCAACGTTTTGCTGCAGAATGGCACTTTTTAAGCCAACTATTTGTCAAAAACTGAGCGACTCACAATAGACTGTACACTGTACAGGAGGAACGTAATGCCAGGGGTAATTTGCTGACTGGCCAACTGTGGCTAGATACCCGTCGTCTAGACAACTGTATGCCAAGGACCCTGGAGCTGGCTTTGTTAACATTCAATTGGTCTCGCTTGCTTGTTAGGTGCAACTCTGGCAATAATTGAAAACAATCAAGACCAAAATATGAATTACCATGAAAAGTTGGCTTCTTCAAAAGGCCAATGAGCAAGTTAATAGTTTATAGTTAATAGTTAATAGTACTACGTTTTTGCACAACAACCCAAGGAACATCTGTGCCAAGTTTCAGCTTCTGGGTGTGGCCAGTCTTTTACCGTTAAGGAGTTTTCTATGAAAAAAAACAGTTTCGAGTAAAACGAGTTTTTTAGTGTTTTTATTGTTTATTTCACTGCCAAAATCTCAAATTGTGCATTGTTTTCCGTATTTAGTAGCGTCTCCATACAATTTTTGCCTTAAGGTGAGAAGATATTTATTGAGATCAATATCTTAAAAAAGATCAATATCTTAAACCATAATTTGTCTAAAAATGAGGTTAACTATCATGATATGTTGTGGTGTTAGTAAAAATATGATTGTTTAACCTCGCTATAGACCATATTACACTGGGATTGGTTTATCAATATATTATTATTATATTGTTATACATGTAATGAAACATTTGCCAAGTGTAACGATTAAGTTTTTGAGGTTAACATTGACTTGTAGGTTTACAACCTACCAGGACGCGCGCCGAGTTGGACTCGTCGACGGTCCAATATATGGAACAGATATTTTACGAGTATCACCCGTTAAACATTGACTAGATGTACATATTGTGTAATATTAAAAAGCCTGCGATCACAGGGAGGAAGCTAATAGTATTATTTGATAGTCAGCTTTTATTGCATCAAAAAATTTTCATCCAAAGTACAGTCCGAACCAAAGTTGACGGATGTTACTCGTCTAAGTTTCTTCGAAGTAGCGCGCGCCGCTTTCTTCTCGAAACGTTGCCCGATGGCAAGAGCTACGAAGTAGCGCGCGCCGGGCCAGATCATTAACAATGGTCAAAACCAAAGATACAGCGGATTTCAATGGAAAGTACTTTGAACACACCGTTATTGATCACGTACCTTATATACCCGCTTTATTTACATTATCTGTACTTACTGGGCGGCGCTCAGCCTGTCATTCCGCCAAATCTTTATTTATGAACATAATAGCCTGGGGTCCTTAAGTAAGCCATTATGCGATGTATAATTGAATTACATATATTCGTATGCAGTATAATGTGAAGCTTGTTTTTAATAATGCAGCGATTTCATTAAGGGGTGATACTCTTAAAATATTTGTTTCATATATTGACCGTCGACGAGTCCAATTCGGCGCGCGTCCTGATAGGTTGTAAACCTACAACGATTTCACTGGTCGAAAACAACTGTTGGCGACCTAGTTGACTACAAATGGCATGGCAATTGCAATGTTTGATCGAAAACCTGCATATTACCTGGTTTCAGCTCCCCCTGTGAGTAGCGCGCGCCGCTTTCTTCTCGGAAATGGCCCGAGGCCGAGCACCGAAGCAAGTGCTACGAAGTAGCGCGCTCCGGGCTAGTCCATTAACAATGGACAAAGATTATGAGGACGTTTCGAAAAAGAAAGCAAAGAACTTAACGGGTGATACTCGTAAAATATCTGTTCCAACTCGGCGCGCGTCCTGGTAGGTTGTAAACCTACAACAAAGGACAAGTCAGTGCATGGCGCATTGTAAGACTAAATCATAAATGGAAATTATTTCGTCTACCTCCGCGTCCGGTCAAAATTTAAATTCGATTTCAATAATATATTTGGTCACTTTACACAGAATTTTCGGTAATATCAATTTTTATAAAGGATTGTTTACATATTACGTTAAACCAACATATTAGGAGGCGGATGATTGTAATTTCTTCACATAATTTCGGCCAACATCTGGTTCATGTAATATTGGTTATACATGATGTGTGTAAACATTAAACAATCCCTAATAGAGTAAAAAAGAGAAGTGAAAGAAGCGTATCGTGTTCCAATTGTACAAATATAATCAACATTGTAAGATGTTTCAATGCCTCTTCATAAATTAACTATTGCGTACAGTTTAAATAACCGAGATCCAAGAACGACCGCACCTTGAATGCGATTATTAAGTTTTGCAATATGCAGGTAAACTTGTTGCGCAGGTTGCAGCCTAACATAATTTTGCTAAAGCATAAAGGAAGTAGATGGAATAAAAGCTTACAGAAGTTGATGACTCATTGGTGTGTTTTGGAGGGTCAAAACAGCAATCAAGAGAAATTTGTTAAAACGTAAAACCCCGCAGAGAGTACACACACTTAATATTTATCAATGTTTTCACAAAAAGGGTATTTTGATTGTCACGTTACGTTTGAAAATTGCATTATTAAATAGTCACATACAGTTAATAATCACCATAGTATTAACAAAAGCTAAAAATAGTGGCTTTTAATCAAAAAAGCTCCGTAAATAGAAAATTCCCTATGTGTAATAAACTGTAATCCCGGTTACTAAAAGGTCAAAATCCCGAAGCGATCAAGAAAACTAAAAGCAGTATTTGACAGAGGAAACAAATACAAACAAAATTCTCCACCACGAGCTGGAACCAACAAACTTTCAGGGGGCAAGGAATAATCATTTTCCGATGGTAGCCCAAGTACCAAATGTTGTACGTACAGTCTGATTTTTTAACAAATCGATCGAGCAACGACTGAAGGTAAAGTAACACTTCCCAAAACAGAAAGACCTTCGAGTAGACGCCTCGCGTAGATAGTTTGCAATCCATGCAACCTACTTCACATCTCTACAAAATATATACAAGATACCATATCCTTGTGTCTGTCTATACAGCTAAGGGGACTTCTGTTACTCGCTGCTGCATCTCGTTCAAGGTGTCGTTTAGTCTCTTCCACTCTTCGTTGTGTGGCACGGCCAATTTCTGAAAATTATTATGGAATTAAAATTACCATAATAAATAGCAGTATGAATAATACCTACAACCTCATAATTAGCACTCTGACCGTCGGAAATCACCCAAACAAATTGTGGTGGACAGTATTCTAGAGAACTCGCTCTTTAATTCTTAAACACTTCTCACCTCCTTTAACTCATACATGTAGACTTTTCCATCACAGTCGCCTATGTGAAGCTCCTTCCCGTTGGAGGACCACTGCATACGATTTAGCGCAGTGCGAGTGTTTGTTTGCAGGGAAACCACTGGCACCTGGAAACATAGCGTTTATTAGACATTTGTTTATTAGATATTCCTGGGGTTTTCTATTTACAATGCTTTGTGACAATTGATGTGAACTTAGTTGAACTATACTAACTTAATTAAACTATACTACCTACATCTAACTGCATCTACATTAAATATGTATAGAAATGTGAACCTCAGTGTCAGTATTGATGTTCCAAATGTCCACTTTGCCCATGGCGTCCACCGAGGCAAAGACAGCAGGATGGATCGGGGACCATTTTACGTCGAACACGTAATCGTTGGCGTTCTCGAACGAGTATAATGGTTTACTGAGCTGAAAGACAGTAATATCTTTGAACATTTTTGTTATTGTATCGTGAAGTCCCAGATATACCAGATGTTTTATTTCCCCCGAACTCCGCAGTAAATCGGGGTTTTACTGTACAAGAAAGAGTAGAAATGTTGTCATAATTCTTTTCCAAAATTCTGAGACGAAAGAATTCTATAAACCTTCAGATAAAATGACTACAAAGCCCCGTTGAGCTACCATTGCTTTGCAACTTCCGTCGAGAAACTAACCTTGTTGTTCCAGAGCTTTACAGTCCAATCAGTGGAAGATGATATGAAAAGGTGAGAGAAATCTCCCTGACCTACAGCCTTGTTATAGTCCAGGCCGGTAACGGGCCCGTGATGGCCCTCAAAAGCCTCGTTTATCCCAGCTTTGTTCCCGTGCCGGGAGGAAGAGTACAGGGTCCCTTCCTCACTTCCAACTAGGAAACTGTTAACCTGAGAATATTTAAGTAATTACACGATCATCGGTGGTAAGAGTAATAACAAGAGAATGAGCGTACTTGATTTTGTGACTGATAGCTGCAGTGAATTTGACCGTTACAGGATAATAACCACTGATATTGTTCCTGATATCATTTAATTATAAAACAATTCTCACCTCGCCCAGAGCAAATGACATGGTGGTAACGGCCACCGTCTTAGTTTTCTGCTGCAACTCTAGCGTATCTTGGGGTTGGGACAACATATCCAAACTCCAGGAACAGAGTTTACCATCAGTTGCTATTGATATCAAATTGTGTGCGTTTTGTGTGCCCACCACTTGTAAACAGTAGACTGGATGCTGTGAAGTTGGGTGATGTTAGCACTAAGATGTTTTTTAGTATACCAGACAGTGCGATACTAAGCATACTACAAGTTTAACACATGGTGCCTTAATCTGCATGTATACATTCCAGAAACTTGACACTTTGAGTACAAGCGACCAACATCACCCGAACACATACATGTAACCGCATAATATTGTAATATTATGACATTATGCGTGTTAACTATGATTTACCGTGTGAGCGGATGCAGATAAGGGTGAGCGTTGGATAGGCGTCCGTTTTCCGGCCCTCATGTCCCATGCCACAATCTGGCCACTGTAAGTTCCACCGAGAATGAGATGGGGTTGGAATCGGGCGAAACACGCTGCCATCACGGGAGACTGAAATATTGAATGGTGTTATAAGGGACACTGTCTCATATTTAATACATGTTTCATCCAAGTTAATGACGGATTTGGGTGGATGTACGTGACCTCAAGGTAAAATAACACCCGTTCCAGTGTAATAATTTCGCAACATTCATTATGTTTTCAACGAATTATAAACGACCGTTCCAGTATGATATTAAAGGATGGGTCACAACTCACATCTACTTTTCAACGGATTTGGGGCTTCACTTCATGACTTCTTAAGTGACCTCAGATGTCGCGCGTGAAATCAGAAATGGTAAAATGCGAACGTTTGTGCGCGTCGCACTTTCGTTCTTAGTTTGTCTTCGCGCGTAACCATTATGCCCAAAATTAGCTACAAATTCCATCGGCAAGGCCGCAGCAGCACAAGCAATGGGCCAGGCCAATGTTTGTGTACGTCAAATGTGTCATAATATGTACTTGCAAAATCAAATTAAAGGGAATGTAACTTCTCTTCAAAAAATTATTGCGGTTCAGAAATTGTAATTTGAATATTCAGCCGGACCTTATTCAAGAAAAGTGACGGATATTCGCCATTTCTCTAATACAAAAGTTCAATAGGTATGCGTAATGCATGTTAAGAAGACAAGTAGCGTGTTGATATGCTAAATATTTACACAATGTATTATGTATGAAAACTTGACACTGGGTTTTGTGAAGATTGTTCAAACACCGTGTTTATCAAGAGATTCATTACTGAGAAATGTATATGTTTTGATTATTTCGTTTCAGATTTAAGCGGGCTCAATAAAACCACTAACCACAATCCTAATATACCTGGCAATGGAAGATGTATTCAGGAGAGGTTTTAGAGAACTTTTTGTTCCACACCAGGACCACGCCCTCCGGCTCATTTGGGGCCTCTTCGTTGTTGTTGTAACTAACTAGAATTAGTTCAGGGTACTTAGAGTTGAAGTCGAAAGAAGTGACGCTACGGTTGCGCGTCCAACGCTCGTCCTCGAATACTCGGTTTTGTCGGAGCAGTTCATCCGCATTATCTCCACTAAGAAAAAAGAGGAGGTTAAGCGAAACTTTCTAGCTATACATGTGATATAGAACCATCACAATTAATAATTATAAGTACTTGCAATGTCAATGTTCGAGCAGTGAGAAAATACAGCCCTTGGTAACGTTCAGTTTTGAAATAAAAACCTATTTCGGGTTTAAAAGCGTTTCTATTATATGTATATCTATATCTATTTGTGCGTGGAATAGCAGCTATTATCAACAGATGGACTTCTTTAAGGTTCGAAATCGAATCGTCCATCTTTAGCCATAATAATTCGAGAACAGATCGGTTGATTCACTTACGAACCCGCTTTAAATATAAGAAAGGATCCTAATTGGCTACCTCACAAACCAATACTGAATGAACTATAGTATGTGCTATAGATATGAATACTTTGAGTGCTCCACATAACAACTCATGACTTAACGACTTATGACTTAATGGTTAAATGATTATCTTAGTTTAGAGTATATACCGTAATGACGGCACGGTAATACACGCGTGAGCTTGTAACCAAGTACAAGAAGTCCGTTTTGCACACATCAGTGCACAATACTGCCCACGTGCACAATAGTGCCCACGTGTGTTGGCACCATCTTGTATACCACACCACGTGACACAACAGTTACATGATTGCAAAACCCTTTCACCATATTTATATAGTGCATCATGGTGCGATGTTACACTATCCCAACATGCCCTATAATAGCATCTAATAATAGCATATTATTATAATTCATACAGGAGAATCAATAGCGGGGCTAGTAAAGTAATCTTATTGGTTGCATACACGGTCAGAGTATGTGCGGAGAATTGGCAGATGACATTAGTTGTCGAGGGAGAGTAGTGGGTAAAAATGTCGTTAAGATGGTTGTTGCCATGGTGACGGAGTGTGTATAAGATTAGAGGGTGTATGTGTGGAAGTGTATAGTGGTGTACTGTGACACATGTGTATACACTGTCAGATAAAGTGTCACCCTGTAAAGCACTGTACTAATGTACTACTGTACTGTGTTCTTATCATTTGTATATATAGTACTTCAGCTTTGCAGAAGAATTACTGTGAATTAGTACAGTTCAAAGAATATGGCGGATGGGTGGTTTGAGCTAAGGGAGATTTCTGATTTAATTTAGTTGTAGAAAATTAGATAGAATAAATCCCAACCAGGGTTGCAACAAACTCGTCTATTTGAATCAGTTAGATTACATGTTCTGAAGATACATCGTGGCCTATAGTGCAGTTTGCAGAGGTTATTATGCGTAACCTCTTTAAGAAGCTTATCAACAGGCTCTTTTAAACAGGATCATAACAATATCTTAATGAGTTCAAGATAGTAGAACTGAAGAAGATAGTTTCAGGAGTCACCTGTCTAAAAGGCCCTCTCCACTGTACAGGAACCCCACATCTATCTCTTCACAAAGCGCCTTCTCAACGATACGAGCTGCGCTGTCAAAGAAAGATCTGAAGTCCTGTGACGTCATAATTTGCTGTTTCTGCTCGTCGGACAGTTCTTGTAACACTACTTCTGAAACAGGGTGAGGTGAGGGCCAGGGATGGTATTTTAACAATCACTCAGGTATGACATATATAACGGCTACACTAACTTCTTCTGTACTTCTGTAACATTTGGAATGTTAAGGTAAGAACAATGTGATGCCCCAAATCATGTCTTAAATCATGCACCACAGTTTAAATGTACAGCTGTACACTGCAAACTGTACATTGTGCTACGTATTATAAATATTATTTAGAAACAACAAAGAACACAAAGTGAACTGTGAACAAACCTTCCTCTTCCTTCTCTTTGTTTTCATCAGTAACTGCGTCGTTTATCTTCTCCAACTCATCTTCTTTCTTCTTACGCTCTTCTTCCTCTGTCCGCAACTGCTCCTCTTTCTCTGTATTAAGCGGGGTTAATATTAACATATGTTTTTCAGGATGACTCCATTACTTATATAAATTATTCTTTTTTAACTAATTAATCATATCAATACAATACATAGATTGTATACATAGATACAATACATAAATACAATACATAGATACAATACATAGATTGTACTTCATAAGATACATCAGATTGTACCTAAATATTAATACTTATTACAATTCGTACACACTACACACAGTGTCATGTTATGAAGATAATTGTGAGTGGTATTGTAAAGACAGTTGACACGGGAAGTTTCAATATTAGCTTACATAATATGTGATTTATGCCTTTTAAAATTCACAAATACTAATATGCAGAACTTATTTCGGCACGAGTGATTTTTCCATCAACTACTTTTATGTCGAGGGGAAGATGAGAGAGAGATTTTATATGTATGTACAGTGTACACTGAACTTTGTTTGGGGCATGTTTTCCCACACAATATGAATTTACGATTTCTATCGCAATTTCATGTTCTAATCAAAACTATTCCTGTTTTTATCAAATTTAAATTCAATATTATTCCAAATTTAAATTCAATATTATTCCGTCTATCACATCTGGAGTGGATAATATGAGTTGAGCAGACCTGAAGATAAGAAGATAACAACACATATTACACCTCTAGTATACACACTCGTTACTAGTATACACTTCTTACTACTTGGTAAACGTGGTAAAGATGATACCCCTGTGCACGGTGTACACTATATAATACACTGGCAAGATAGCAACCATTTCATACATTTGGGTATGTGTATAGTATAGTGGTCAGGAGATGACATAAGACTGACTCTGCAGGGTGAAAGCGTGATGATTTTAGCAACGCGTGTAGTAGGTATATTATAGTAGTGTGTGTATTATAGTATTATAGTAGTGACTAGTGTAACCCGTGCCTACGGCCGGGACTTCACTATCGCAGTTGAATTGCAAAAGTATAAACAGTGCAAAAGTTGAAATTGAGCAAAAGTATAAACTCGCTCAGTTGAAACCGACCGCATTAGAGTAAATTTAATTCTGAGCGCCCATCAATTGTGTAAAAAACAGTAATTAGGGGAGCTGTAAATGGGGAGAGAGAGAGTGAGAGAGAGTGTGAGAGAGGGACAAAAAGTGAGTCACTTTAATATCACATTTGTAGTACAAAACCATCAATTAAACCAGTTTTACCACCGGCCGATTTTTTAAAAATTTGCACATTGGCTTCGTCAGAGTTTTGTCGAAACTATACCGGAAAAACCAGTCCCATAACTCTTACTGTTTTCTTGATTAAACCGTTTGGAAATTTCCCACACACACACACACAGACAGACAGACACACATTTTGGGATTATTAGTATTGATTACAAATCATAATACTGAAATACAATCCCAGTGTTGTAATGGTCCCTGTTTTAATAGGACTTGTAACCCAAACAATATACCGTCATTACATAAGCTACTGTGTCTAACTTGTTACAGGACATTTGGTGTTACAGGCTGTTTCATATTACTGTTACAACGTGCATAATCAATGTAACAGCTGCTGTATTCATTACAATTGAGCACAAATTGGGTTCGCATTGTTTCAGCGCTCAGCCCTATCTCAGAAGTCAGAATAGTTAATTAGATTTAGCCTTTAGGTTTGAAAGGTTTCCGCAGTTTAGTAAGAACTATACTCCACTAAGTCCACAAGTCTTGTATCCAATAAAGATATAATTGATAGATAATAAAGGGGATGATAATTATAATTAGAAGGACCGGATGGTGCAGGATACGTTTGGGTGTTAATAACAAAACACATTCCATACATTCCACATGTTGGACCAAAAGTAACCAAGATTAATTAGTAATTAGGTGGGACCAGGTGTATTGTACAATGTACACGCGCTGTGCACAGCGTATCCTAAAATACCGACATGTTTGTGTATATACGTGTATTATGTATAAATCGTTATTACTTATTTGAATTTTATCGTAATGTCTTAATTTCAAAATTACTGATCTACACAGTAAAATATATGAGGATTGCGTAAGCGTGGGACACAGAGACCAAATGTTTCAAAATTAAAGTGGTCCCTGTACTGTTTTTAATTAAGAATATGAGTCCGAATCGTGTTACACAATCTATCAAACACATTACACAATATGTTACCCTAATATTGAGGCAATAAATCACGAACCTTTAATTATTTGCTGTAAATGTGATTCATCAGTTTGGGTGCACTTCGGATACTCTATATGTTCAGCAGGTTGGATATCCACATTCTTTACTTTAGTTTGAGATAACTTTGGTAATCGGTATCTGAAAATACTAGTTATCACCGTTTAGTTCTAAAGAAGTGCTACAAAACTCAAAACTCGTGCTTCAAGTTCAAATCTTCACAAAAACAATGATCAAAGAGCTGCAGTTCACACTGAGGGAGCTGCAGTTCACACTGAGTAGAGGGAGTAGAGGGAGATAATACGTTATGTAATGTGCTATCACGATGAAATAGCAGAAGGATCAGAACACTTAACATCCTTAAAATAAATTTAAATCAGTAAAATAGCTGGGATACAAGGATATACTCATTGATCATAACGCAGTTTGGATGTAAAAATAGAAGTTTAATAGTTTTAAGTCTTTTAACATAAAAACAAGACCTCTTGACCCACAACTGTTACCTGACGTTATTATTATTAGCAGCATTTGCTGTAGCATTTGGCTGCGGTGATAACGCAGTTTCTTTGTTATCATTGGCTACTGGGCTGTTGGAGTTGTTGGCAACCCTTGGATCTGTAATGGTAAATACCATCATCAAGGGAATTTTATTTTACTCATTAAATCCTAGAATTGCAGACTGAGAGATTTATACTAATTTATGTTTCAATTGTTACATTCACCTCAAATATCATGAGTTTAGAATCTGATTTTCAGTGAAAATGCCTAAGATTGCCACTTCCCAACCTTTAAGGGGCATAAAGATATCAGTTAGCTCTGTTTACCATAGACTTTTAATTAATCGTAAATCACAGTAATGTTGGTTATCTAGTAGAGCATCGCTAGATAACATTCACAATGTATACATGTCAGTGTAAAATATCGAATATTGATTTGTATCAATTACCATTAAAGCGACAAAAAATAAGGTTTAAAAAAACCTGGGATGTCAGATATCAAAGAGTCGACATTGATGTGTTGTGTTGCTGCAACTTCCTTCACTGGGGTCTGAGATTAAAAATGTCAATGATAGATTAAACAAAAATGTCTATGTTATTTTCTTACAGTTGATATTTTGATCTAAGCAAATTGTTTAGACAATTTTAACCATGCAATCTGGTTATAATTATCTAGAGCTTGGTGGTGCTCCGCTCTGCCTTGATTAATGAAAATGATACTGTTAAGTTCACAGTGTGAACCCCTGTAGACGATTTTTAAGTGAGCTCTGATAAATCACGTGTCTAGCAAAAACTGACCAAACATGGCTACAGTTAAGGCCAGAGGGGGGGGTAAATGGCACTTTTCTAGTTTTCACATATTTGATAATAGCTGCTGGAGACAAACAAGAAGAAAAAAACCGGATCAAAATCTGACCTTGCGTTCCTGAGATATCGCGCGCTAAATTTTGAGGTTTACCTGTAATTACATGTTAAACTGGATCTTTAAACGGCTGTAACTTTTTTGACCTTTCGAATCCTTAGTTGAGAAAACCGGCCACTCCCTGATCTTGAGGTTTGGTACAGTGGTTCCTTGGACAATTATCCTCATTTATGATGCAGCGATTTTTTTTATTTGCCTCGGTTATCGAATTATGAGGTTAACCATGTCAAAAATTCGGAAAATTTAGCTGGTTAACCTCATAATTCGAGAACCGAGTCAAATTAAAAAAATCGCTGCATCTAATGTCTAGATATTTGTCCAAGGAACCACTGTACCAAATCTCAATATCAGGGGGTGGCTGGTTTTCTCAACTAAGGAACTGAAAGTCACAAAATGTGTTTTGAGATAGATGCAACTTAGTGTTTTCAAAATTTTGAATATTCACTGGAATGTATCACAGTTCGTTAGTTAAGACTTTCTATACACTTAACAACGTTTGCTTGATCAGACCTAGCAATCCCCTAAATGATTTTAGCCACTTTCAGTATTTAATGTCCTTGTATTGTAAAAAATGAGGTTAACCAAGACTTCCTGTAAACACTTACTGCTTAAAGGTAGTAAAAAATTGGTTGTTAACCTCGCTTTAGACCATATAACACTGGGATTGGTTTATTAATATGTTATTATATATAATGTAGTAAAACATTTCCACAGTGTAACGATTAAGTTTTTGAGGTTAACATGTATTTGACTGGTCAGATATTCAAAAAATGAGAGGTTAACCTCATTTTTTAGCCATTTACGGATAAAATCTTCTACTAAAATATGGTCAGTTCAAATCACCTTTGTCACGTGATTATAGTTGTAGGCATTGTGATACCAATAGATACCTCACTGCGATATTGTGGTACATTACATAAGTAAGAATCGTATGTTATATTCCCTACGGTACCAAAATTTGATGGTTAACCTCATTTTTTCATTTAACCAAGATAAAAGAAAGTCAATCAACACGTCATCTATTTAGAAATGTGTTTACCGTAAACTAACGATGAAAATAATAGCTCTATCATTTGATCTATTCTCGCTATATCTAAAAAAAGAGGTTAACCTCATTTAATCACGTTTGGATATTACTTTTTCTGACAATTATGAACCTAAAATTTAGAGTTATCATTTGCTGACCGAAATAACAAAAAATTATGGAGTGTAATAAAATATTAACCTCAATTTTATTAACCTCAATGTTGTATAGTCAATTTTGTGAAAATCGGTTAACCTCAATTATTAAAATAAGTTAAGCAGCTACAAATATGTAAATAGCAGCAATGTTTTTGTCATCAAAAATTATATTGATTTAGAAAATAATATTTTGGTCGATGTTTTTGACCCCTTACCCCCCCCCCCCCCCTCTGGCCTTAAAGGGAAGTCTTTGATCTGTAGCTATGTTTGACCAGCTTTTGCAAGAAATGTGATTCATCAGAGCTTACATGACAAGAGGTCTTACAGTATCTAGCTTTTAATATTTACTCCAAGAACTACAGTAAGTAATCACAATTAAAACAAATTTGGCTGACCGGAGTAGGCTTTTGGCGATTGATTCGAGCTTTCTTTAACTCTTCGAGCCTCTTCTTTTTAGCTTCTAGCTTGGACTTCACGTCATTATCAGCCATACTAATCAAAAATAAATAAAAGTTAAATACAAATCATTTTGTTAGTTCTGATCTAATGGAAGATACAATGAAATGGCAAACAATTGCTTTATTTGATCTTGTTAAAAAGTATTTTTTGGAGAAAACTTTTTTAGGGATTAATTTTTCTATTTTCATATCTATCATGCTCTTTGTTACTAAAATGCTCATTGTAGCCTATATTAATTAGATTTTCATCATCACCATAATATAATCCCGGCACTTAAATACCCAGAAATTTTGAATAACTTAACTCGGTTAAATTGTGAATAACCAACTTGAAATTTTGGGAAAGCACTTCAATTATCACAACATAACATAACATAATAATTTATAATTATAATTTACAAATAATGCCTCTCTGGGCATCTCAACAAGACATTCACAGAAAATGAACAATTTACGTTTAAAACCATATAATAATTACAATTATTTAAAAAAATTCAATTAAATACCTTTGATATTAACCTTCTTCCTCTTAGCTATCATTCGATTCTCTTTCATATAACTTATATAACTATTCCTATTAGACACAGACTCATCTATCCTATCAAAGATGTCATATGACAGTTCCCAGTAGTAGCCAAGCTTATTAGCCTGATATCCATCAAGCCGAAAGGCATCTAATCCACTTTTGAATCCAGTAACCGACTCACTAGTTTTCACAAGTGGTGGTAGACTGTTCCAGTAGCGCAAGACCCTTTGGGCAAAGAAGTCAGTCTCATTCGTGGTAAATCTGTGTGGCTTCGACCTAGCAGAGACAGTCTTACCAGTACGACCAAATAAATCAGACCCATAATCCACAAAAGCACAAAGCCTTCCTGGATCTTGAACATCTCAATGAGATCCCCACGGACCCTACGTTCAAGCAAGGTCGTAAGCTTCAAGTTATCCAGTCTCTCTCTGTAGGTCATCAAGTTAAATGTGTCATTGGATTATACATTACATTACCTGGGGACCTCAGACTATTATGTTCATAACCATAAAAGCCGCGCATCGGCTGATTGCTTCAACTTGGATTAATAGCAATTTCAGTCGACAGAAGCTGATGGACAGCAGCTCAAAAGGCCCAGTGCATTCACCATCGGCAAGATCAAGGACTTGAATGCCAATAATGGCTTTTCCGAACCAATTTTCGCCGATTTGCTCAGTGGTCCCACTCCCAGTGAGCAGCGTCTGGGACGCTTAACGGCTGCTTAACGGCACATGATGATTTTTGTTTTGATTCACGATGTCAATCCTTCGCAGCTCGGTGAGGCACAGTGGTGCATTTCACCGATCTACCGAAGTGGTTGCGAGAAGAATTATTTGATGCGCGGCGCAACCCAGTAGTGCATCGCCCTACAAGTTTTTGTTTTAATACTTATTTAGATTTAAGCGACGCGATAATTTAGTTGATTGTTTATAAATTATAAATCATGTTTCTTTTTCGTTTAATAATTGATAATGATCACGGCTTGACAATTCAGTCAAATTGCTAGGCAGTGCACCATCGACAGTAAGACGCGCGCGCTGACCATTGAATGGTTTTTTAGCTCTTATTTCGGCCAGCACATTATTTTGGAAACAATCGAAAAGTTATAATACTTCCCGTTTAACAATTGTATTGATGGTCAGAATTTGAGTTATCAACGAATTTATACCTATTTTGTCATTTTTATACCTCTTTTTCAAGGTCAATCTCTCCCAACTAAATTAGGTTCGGTAGTTACCTGGGGACCTCAGGCTAATAGAGATTCGGCGGAATGACAGGCTGAGCGCGGCCCAGTAAGTTCGGTAGTTAAGTATGATTGGAAGGTTCTGACAAATTTTTAGCATGATTCATGTTCAGGAACCGAAGATATGACAGAATAATACGACAAAAATCAGCGAATTTCGTCAAATTACGCGACTTTTACACCTAATTTTGCTCCAAAAGCCGCGCACCATCAAATATGGCACCTAGGAGAAACTCACTAATCATTCCAAAAAGTTATAATTAATTTGGTACTGTGAAAATTGTCACAGTCTCTATAAGAAAACGATGGTACAAAAATTTTGAAAATCCGAGCAAGTTTATTTTTTATTTTATTTTCATATTATCGTGCACCGCCTAATATTGCATATAACAGTCAACAGTTTTGAGACAACCAGCATCCGGAGTTCAATAATTGGAGACCGGACCAAATAAATATAAATTGATCGAAATTTACAATTTATCGTCTTAAAATATGATTAATAAGGCCCCGGTGTGTATTTGGTCTTGTAGCGCGATATATGCGTTAGTGGGCCGCGCCGTGCGTCCAATAATGCTGCTCGCAAGTACAAAGTACCACTTCGTTAGATCGGCAAAATGCGTTGTAGCGCGATGGGCTCTTTCTAAATCGCTCGCCCAAACCGTACCAACAATTTCAACTTTTGCGCGTCTCCTAAATGCGCGTTAGTTATCTGTGATAATTTAGCACCGGCGAACCACATGGTCTGCCTACTAGCAAAGTTCACTCAAAACGTTCCGCGCCCGCGGATAAGTCAATATTTGTGGTTTTCAGAGACCAGATATTGCCATCTTGGATCATTAAAAAGGCCACCTGATAAGTCTATACAGACATCAAAACTCTTTTTATCAGTAGTCAGAGTGGTTCGTTGTCATTTTAGTAGTAGCACTTCCTTATTGCTAATATATAATTGGGAAAGCAAAATAATAGACTTCAAATATGCTTTCCACATTGGAAAATACAATTCACTTTATATCTCCAATATTATTGGAAAATACAGTACACTTATCTCTAGTATTATTGGAAAATACAGTACACTTATCTCCAGTATTAATGGAAAATACAGTACAATTATTCCCAGTATTAATGGAAAATACAGTACACTTATCTCAAGTATTATTGGGAAATACAGTACACTTATCTCCAGTTTTATTGGAAATACAGTACACTTATCTCCAGTATTATTTGAAAATACAGTACATTTATCTTTAGTATTATTGGAAAATACAGTACACTTATCCCCAGTATTATTGGAAAATACAGTACACTTATCTCTAGTATTATTGGAAAATACAGTACACTTATCTCTAGTATTATTGGAAAAAACTGTACACTATCTCTAGTATTATTGGAAAATACAGTTCACTTATCTCCAGTACTATTGGAAAATACAGTATTATTGGAAAATACAGTACAATTATCTCTAGTATTATTGGAAAATACAGTACATTTATCTCCAATATTAATGGAAAATACAGTACACTTATCTCTAGTATTATTGAAAAATACAGTACACTTATCCCCAGTATTATTGGAAAATACAGTACAAGCTTATCTCTAGTATTAATGGAAAATACAGTACACTTATCTCTAGTATTATTGGAAAATACAGTACACTTATCTCCAGTATTATTGGAAATACAGTACACTTATCTCCAGTATTATTTGAAAATACAGTACACTAACCTACAATATAATTAATGGAAAATACAGTACAGTTATCTCCCGTATTATTTGAAAATACAGTACACTTATCTCTAGTATTAATGGAAAATACAGTACACTTATCTCCAGTATTATTGGAAAATACAGTACACCTATCTCTAGTATTATTGGAAAATACAGTACACTTATCCCCAGTATTATTGGAAAATACAGTACACTTATCTCCAGTATTATTGGAAAATACAGTTCACTTATCTCCAGTACTATTGGAAAATACAGTATTATTGGAAAATACAGTACAATTATCCCCAGTATTAATGGAAAATACAGTACACTTATCTCCAATTTTATTGGAAATACAGTACACTTATCTCCAGTATTATTTGAAAATACAGTACATTTATCTCCAGTATTATTGGAAAATACAGTACACTTATCCCCAGTATTATTGGAAATACAGTACACTTATCTCCAGTATTATTGGAAAATACAGTACACTTATCTCTAGTATTATTGGAAAATACAGTACATTTATCTCCAGTATTATTGGAAAATACAGTACACTTATCACCAGTATTCTTGGAAAATACAGTACACTTATCTCTAGTATTATTGGAAAATACAGTTCACTTATCTCCAGTATTATTGGAAAATATAGTACACTTATCTCCAGTATTAATGGAAAATACAGTACACTTATCCCCAGAATTAATGAAAAATACAGTACACTTATCTCTAGTAATATTGGAAAATACAGTACACTTATCTCCAGTAATATTGGAAAATACAGTACACTTATCTCCAGTATTATTGGAAAATACAGTACACTTATCTCCAGTATTATTGGAAAATACAGTACGCTAATCTTCAGTATTAATGGAAAGTACAGTACACTTATCTCCAGTATTATTTGAAAATACAGTACACTTATCTCCAGTATTATTGGGAAATACAGTTCACTATACCCAGTATTATTTGAAATTATAGCATACTATCAGCGTGGTTCGCTGTAAGTGTACTCTCAATAGCATACAGCATTTGTGTATTAATAATCTATCAATTTGTTTGAGGTTGCTTTAACAACAATCCCAATAATGCTCGCTTGCTGTTTTTCTGAATATAATATTTGGGTAAGAAACTAATCCATTTAATGACCTACTTGAACAATGAACAGATACATTTTTCCTCTTTTAAGCGATCGGAGACTCATAATAAGTGTTACGTAGAACAGAGAATCAAGAGGAGATGGTTTCATTCATTATACTGTATTAAAATGAAAACAACTTGTTTTGTAAAAAAGAAAAAATTAATGAAGCAATAAATGATGCAATAAAATAAAACAAAAATCAGATTTAAATTGATAAAATTCGACCAAATCATACATCATTCTCGAAATCAGAGTCTCATCCGAAACCATAATTCAGTTTCCTTTCGGGAAACTTCTTTCGCTTTTTTTTGCTCGCTTTGGGAGCGAATCTGCGAAGTCCGTCCGCTTTTCTGCCCGAGAAGTCGTTGACAACAATGACAAATCGTCCCGAGTTGCTGTTACCGTCATGTCAATCT